CTTTGGTGCTGTAGGCTGGGGAGCTCAGCTTGGGGTTTAGACCCCACACTTCTCAGGGGGGAATATCCCAGCCACTGAAATGTCTGTCCCTTTGGTACCTCAGCAGCTGCCCACGTCCCCTGCACTCCCTACCAGTCTTGTTGTGATGATGTGGTTTCTTCTGTCCGTGGTTGTAAGGTTTCTCTCCAGCTAGTGTTCAGTTGGTTATTTAGGGTGATTTTTCTACAATTTAGTTGTAATTCCAGGCTGTTCTTGGGTGGAGGTTAGTATAGCTTCCACGTACTCCTCTACCATCTTGGATCTCATGACTTGTTTTAAATGCCTAAAAGGCAAAGAAACCCATCTCTTTTCTTCCTGCAGTTTCTATGTATAAAAGCCTTTGAGGAATGATTAATCAAAAGTATCATTGACTGTATTGGCAACTAGCACCTTTTTGTTAGTGATAATTCTGAAGATTTTGATGACCCTTTGTTACACATGAGTACTTTTTTTCCTGGAAAAAAAAAAACCCACAAAGTAGGACAGTTAAACACAGTCTAACTATTTCTCAGTGAATCACATAATAATACATAGACCAGATCAGCCAGTATGAAGTTACTGAGAAAAGTATGATCATTGTTTTCTATTAGTTGCCATCATTCACTAATGTACTTTTTGTCGAGATCATGAAGGGTTTTCATTCTTCATGACTCAAAGAGAGAATAGGCATTAAAGCTGCCCTCGCACCCTCAGGCATTTGGTTCCCCTTCTCCCTTCAGATGATTCTGCCAGTGCCTGAATGAGACTAATTAAAAGGGCACTTTGGGGTCCTTTCAACAGCTGCCCAGCAAGTGACCTCACACCCATGACTCCATGGGTCCTGGGCTCCCGCGGGAGGGCCAGGATGCAGCAGGGCAGTTGGCAGGTATATGTTGCACCCTGTACAGTCCATGGTGCTTGTTGCCACGATTGGGGGAACTAGTTAAGACACATTTCCTGCTTTCTAGGAGCTCATAATTTGATATGGAAGAGTGGTAAGACAGATGGATAATCAACCAAAATGCATAAAGCGATAGTAAAATTAGATTAAGGAGGGAAGTTAATTTGGAGTTGAGTCAGGTGGAGAATGTGCTGGGTTAACTGAGAAGGGATGGATGGTGGAGGAGCTTTGCCTTTAAGGAATAGAAGGAGAGTGGGATTTTAAGCTTCAGGGGCATGAATGTTGATGAATTGGAAGGAAACCCCAAGGTCACATCACTTTATGCAAAAGGGCAGGTTCTATCTGATGTTCATCTCCTCCTCTGCTGGAGACAATCCAGAGAGCAGGCTGGGAGCCAGCAATATCACATAGTTTTGAGAGGAGCTAATGAACTTGACATTAGGGTCAGGTGGGCCACTGAACTCTGCTCTTTTAGCTTGCAAAAGCCAAAAATGTCCCTAGTCAAAGATGCCATTAATTAGGAGACAGGTTAATACCTGTTCTATGGATTTCTAAGGGTAAGAAATCCCTAGAAATTATCTTTTTCTTCCCCAGCAAATAGAAGAATTTCTACAGAAGTGTATATAACTATAGCTGTCTTTTTGTGCCCATGCTAATCTTTCAAGTTAAGTGACAATTGATCCATATAAATTGTATATATGTCTCTTCTTTGCCTCCTTTGAAGAGGAGAAAACATCTAGATTTTTCTCTCTGTTTTTAGAAAAACAAAAATACTTTGCCATTATTTCTTCCACTGGACAAATTTCTAAGACCACAAAGTACACTGAAGGGAGCAAGTTCTATAATACCATCAGTAATGTGCTTGGTTCAAGTCATACTCTAAATGTAACATAAATTGGATTTTTATCATTATTTTGGGAAACATATTAATGGGTTTTTGATCATTATCATGACACCTTGTGAACCATTAGAATTCCCTGGCTCCAGAGTTGTTGCTTTTCCCATGAAGAGAATTCATGTCCTCCTTGGAGATTTAATAGCCGCTCTAAAGTAATGTCTCGCATTTAATAAGATTGTCATCACTTTCACAAACTATACTCCAGTAGATTTACTGAATGATAGGCAAGGAAGTAGCTCAGATCAAACAGTTCTCAATAAATTAACAAGAAGGAACATGACATTGGGGGGGCGGATAATGAATCACAAAATGCCTTACTCATAAAATTAAGTAACCCTTAATAAATGTAAATTAATAAAATGTAATGGCTCAGCATTTTATGTTTTCCAAGAACTTAAACCAAACTTGTAAGTAAGTGAGGACCTTGTAAAGGGTAGGAAAGGGAGACTGCTGATATGTAAGTGGCTAAGTAGTGACCTTCATGCCAACTTTTTTCCTGATTCCATTGTAAGAATTAATTATGTAGTTTGTCCTCCAGGCCACAAAATGAATATGGAGTGACATTTGCTTACCTTTAGAAAAGGTCTAGTACAAGTATAAATTCAGCGTGGGATTTTTTTAGGTTGGCAAGTTTTAAGAGAATGATTAAAAGGCTAGTATTTACATTGGACTTCATTTGGTCTTTGCCTTAAGAACCCAATTGCATCACTAATAATTGTCATTTTCCTTTTCCTTTCTTTCTAAAGCTAGTAAGTTGTTGAAGGATCTACATTTGAATTTGCTCAGCTACTTTTTAGCATGTGGTCTTGGGGAATTGTAACCCCCTCTAACCCTTAGAATCCTCATTGATACACAGGACACCTGATGAATAATGCATGTGCAGGTGATTAGCACAGTATCTGGCCTAGCCAGGGGCTTCATCTAAAATATGTGCTAAAGGAAACAAATGATGTTTTTACAGCTCCGTGAGCCTGCGGGCATTCTGTAGGGTCTGTTACTAACCAGGAGTCTGAGCAAAAGAGGAGGTTACCTCTTCTTTTGCTCAGAAGAAAGCAAAAGAGGTCAGAAGGAAGGAGAACCAAACAGGATAGTAAGGGGCGTGACTGGCAGAGAAGGCAGGAGCAAAGTCTAGGGTACCTGCACCTCAGAATTGCATGGTTTTCCTGATAGGGTGCCAGCGAAGGCTTGGAGCTGAGACTCGGTAACTTACATACCCTGAGCAGTGCACACACACCATCTGTGTGGTAGGCTACAGAGAACAGTGACGTGAGCAAAATGGAGAGGTGCCAGTTAAATCATTCAGTCCTCTTAAGTGGACTGGGGTCTGAACTAAGGAAAGAGCTATCTTGGCCCCTAAAGCAAGGGACCCAACCCTACCAGACCCAACACCTCCTTTTATTACAAGAATAATATAACATCTACTTCTCTCCCTGAAATGAAATTTGTAAATAATATACCCTGCCTACATATGTAATTTCAAAAAAAGAATGATTTTCTAGCTCCAGTATGAGAGAAATAAAAGCAAAATAATTTACAATAACATAATGCATATTTTAGTATATTAGAAGACATCATGATGTCTTGTTCCTCTTTCCAATGAGTAAGTTCATGTTTAAAAGGAATAAAACATGCAGCTGAATCTGGTCAGGTCTTTTTTGCTTCTAATTGACATGAAAGGGGAGCTAAGTAAGAAAGTTCCTATATCTACAGACGTACAAGTACATATGCCATTGACATTAGTGGGGTAGCTGCAAATACAGATCATTTGGGTATGTCGCCCTGGAGATTCAAATAATCTGAACAATGTTGACTTTGCTGCCATTTTTCTGAAATGGAATCAGCTTATTGGTGACATTCCAAATCAAACAGACATCCCTTGATTTATGTGACAATCATGTTCCTAGCAAAGTCAGTGTATATAAAAACTGTGCCAAAGAGTTACATCCTGTGAGCCCACAGGAAAGCCCAGCAGGACATGCAAAGGCTGTGTGAGAAGCAGACCGTTCCATGTTGTACAGGACAGCCGGGCACTTCATGAGGTGTCTGACATCCCTGGTCTCGCCCCACCCATTACGGGTAGCACCCCAAGTGTTAGTGAGAACTGAAAATGCTTTCACAAATGCCCAGAATGCTCTCTTCACACCACAGCCTTCAAGGGATACAAGAATAAGGGGGGAAACACATTTGAGGGGTAAATTTAGCTGTCTCAGAAAAAGGGCTCTTCGAGAGCTGAGACTTACCGGTGCTCGTATGGGGCTTCTTTGACCACCCTTTCTTCTTAAAAGAGGGCTTCTAAAGCCCTCTTAAGAGCAGACACTGCCTTTCCTTGCTTTTCTGAATCCAGATCATCTTTATAAATACTAAGTCTTCAGTGTTATGCTAATGATTATTCCTGAAAACCATTCCAAAAGTCCCTGGTTTTCTGGCATGATTTCTCTGTTACCTTTTATATGTGCCATTATTTATCCTCCTATGACTCGAAAACCTTTATTGTAATTTTCCTACGCTTACCTGCCTATCCTAGCTGACTTTCAACACACACAAGTTTGCTCTGGGTGATTTCAGGGCTGGCACGTGATGGCGGGTAGTACATCTTCCTTATTTCTTGGTGTGATATCGAGGGACTGGGGCCACCTGTAACATCCTCCGTGTGTCCTGGTTATGACCCTAACTCTTCTCTCCAAGTGCGGTACAAGATGTGGAGCCATTACTAGGGCTGTCTCACAGCCTCAGACAAGGCCATGGCTCACGTACCACCCATCCTGGGTCCCCCAGGGACCCCTCCCAAGTCCTGAAGTCCCATGTCAAAGGACTCAGGGTAGCCCTGGGCACCTGTCTTTACAACATTGCACATGAACCTGTTGGGCATCAGGTAGGCACTGCCTGTTTCCTCCTCTGTACCTGTTAATGCTGTGCCTGTGTATCCAGGTGGTTTTGGGTGGGCCCAAGAAATGTCCCACCAAGCCAAAAAAAATGTGGAGCTGTCACTGTTCCCTTGTTATCTGCTAGTAGTTTGCTTAGGAGGTTTTGATAGTAAAGGGAGGACAAAAATAGTATCTTGCTACTTGGGCGTGTACAACTAGGTACCATGCCTAACACTTCATCTAGCACAGAAGGGTTTTTTTTTTTAAGTGTGTGAAACTCAGATGTTTTATCTTCTTTCTCTCTCTCTTTTTTTTTTAGCTGACATCTCAGCATCCGTATGCTGAAGTTTTCATTGGCCAGCCACACGTCTGGACTGTTGACCTCGGCAATCAGGATGAAGTTGAGGATGCGGTGAAAGCAATTCTAAATCAGAAGGTTCTTTGTTTTATTTCATTTTCCCCCATTTGTAAACTGTGAACTGAAAAGTGTGGGGTGTATCACAGGACCTTTGTATGAGTAATTTCCATGTCAGCTTAACCCTGACATCAGAAAATAGCCAAGCCATTAGCCTGTGGGTTTCATGGGTGTTCTATGAAATGGGAACAGAGCTGGTGTCCAGATGTGTGCGTGGTTCTGAAACCCTTCGACACGACTCCCGGGTCCCAGACATAGTAGTAGGAACTTGGATCATAGTACTTGCTTCAGGGACCTAATGATGTGACTCCCACAAAGACCTGAAAAGATAGACTTGATCTTCTAAAAAAAAGTGAGAATGAGGAATGTTTAAAGAAATATTCCTGGGTTGTACTTTTATGTTGCATCCATTTATTTGGCTTTTCTACCTAAGCATTTCCTAAAATTTTGTATAAGTAACTAACATCTCTGGACTCTCTTGATCAATTCGGGCAGACATATTACTAAGTACCAACTGCGCACCAAGCACCCCCTGAACCTCTCTGGGGGACGCTGACTTCCGTAAACTTAGTCAAGGCTGGCTTCCTGCGTGTGGGAAGCTTACCACCAAGCAGGAGAAGTTTAAGTTATCCTCTCTCCCAACCCCAGCACTGTGGCGGCTTCTGTCAGGTGTACCTTTCCCCTGCACTCCTCCTATCAGAGCACTTTTTCCATCCTGTTAGGATTTGTTAAGGGAAGCAGTACAGACGAGGTTGTGAAGGCAGACCGAAATCAGACGGTTTGGGTTCCAGCTCTATCTCGTACTAGCAGCATCCCATCCCCTCGGGCAGTTACCTAGCCTTTGAGTCTCAGTTTCCTCATCTCTAATGTAGGCTAATATTATGTACTTTAGAGGGCAGTTGTGGGGATTTAATGAGATAATGAGCATAAAGAGCTTACGGCAGTGTCTACCACATGGTATGTAGTTAGTTAGTATTATTAAGTCAATAGTAGTATTATTTTTATAATAATATACTACTCTTATTTTTTGTCATTGATAGTCTTGATCTCCACTAAACTCTAAAAACATGAGGGCAGTGAATACATCTGTTTAACTTTCTGTATTCTGAAAACCCCGCTTAGTGATTTACTCAATGGATGGAGAGAGGGAGGCATAGATGTTTGCAGAATGTGTTCAGTGCCAATAACATGCCAAAGACTGAGGAGTGTAAGTTGGGATAGACTTTCTTGAAATTGCAGCTTTGAGTTGCCTTTTACAGGATGAGCAAGAATTTGCAAAGCTAAACTGAGGAGTGAGCTCAGAATAGCGTGAGTTCCAAGCCCAGTGTGAGTAAAGGGAAGAGCCTGGAAAAGCATGAATCCTGTGAGGACCGGCCACTGACCCATGTCAAAGGCCATCTTTCCCTTTTGAGAAATGAAATGTGCGTGGCCCACTGAACGGCCAGTTCCAGTTCACTCAAAACACCTCCAGGGGAACAAGAGCACAGCTGTGCATCACCACGTTCTGTGCCCTCTGAAGAGGGGGTAGTTGTTGACTTTTGGTATAATTTCTCAGAGTTCCCATTAATGATAGATGATGTCAATCCTGGCCTTGACAGTTTAGGGCAGAAGTCCCCCAGACATCTGGTGGACAAGCCAGGAGAGTGCCGAGTGGAGTGTGGTGCCACTGGACTCCATCAAAGTGTCCCCCGCACATCTAAAGCTTCCCCACCAGAAAGTCATTCTTGTGGAGACTGAAGGTCTTTCTTCTTTCTTAAGTCTCCAAGTCCCTTAGTGTATCAGGAACCGCCATAACAAAGAACCACAAACTTGGTGGCTAAACAACACAAATTTGTTTCATGACAATTTTAGAGGCTAGAAGTCTGATGTTGGTAGGACCATGGTCCCTTTTTGTCTTCCACTTTCTGGTGGCTCAGGTATTCTTGACTTTCAGCTACAGCACTTTAACCTCTATCTTCGTCATTGTATGGTGGCTTCCCTAAGTGTATATGTGTCTGTCTGTCTTCTCCACTTTTTATAAGGACATCCGTCATATTGGATTATAGCCCACTCAAATCCACTGTGACCTCATCTTAACTTGATTACATCTACAAAAAACCTGTAACCTGTTTCCAAATAAGATCACATTCACAGGTACTAGGAGTTAGGACTTCCTCATATCTTTTGGGGGGACTTCCATAAACCTAGTCAACCACAACCCACATACTTAGTTAAGTGCACATCCCCCTTAAGTGGAGTAGTATAAAAGCTAATATAGAGGTAGGAAACCTTGGATCACGGAGTTCACAAACTTTTTCAATAGCAGATCCCTTTCGTCAGGCAGAAGTCAAATGGGAGTGGGCACTGCTCACTCCTACATGACACGGGCTCATTTCACTCTGTGGAAACCTGAGTGCTCCACACTCATCAGCCTTTTTTTATCATATTCCAAAAACCGTGTAGGGCCACTTGTTTTTAAAAAAGTAATTATTGTAGCTGATAGGCAGAGAGAACCTCTTTCTACACATCTGGAATTTGTATACCTGTATGAGCCCTATCCCTTTTACTCCTTCTTCAGTTGAGAAGATTACGATTGAAGGAAATTAGCTAATTTACTCAAGATCATACAATTCATGAACAGTAAAACCTGGATTTACACCTAGGTCTTTTTGACTGGTTGGTTAAGGTAATACAGAAGATGAAAGGGAGAAAAAAGCATGAAATGAAGTAAAGGGAAAGATAAGAGTAAAAAGGATGAAGTAAGGAATGCGATTAATACACAATGATTGTCATTAAAATCCTTCCACTGGTAAGAAATGGGTCAGAAGTGGGTGTAAAGGTTTCCATCTTTAATGTACAAGATTTAAATTATATTAAAAAAACAAAAAGACAATTAAAAAAAGCAAGAAAACAACTTATCATTAAGAGAGGAAACAGTGAATAAAACTAGACCTAGAGATGGCTCAGATGTTGGAAGTATCATACAGCAACTTTCAAATGCTAGGATAAATACATTAAAAGCCTTGGTGAAATCAGTAGACAACATATGTGAAGAGATGGGGTATTTCAGCAGAGAGGTGGACACTTCTTAAAAGCCAAATGAGAAAAAGCTAGTACTGAAAAATACAGTGTCAGAAATGAAGAACTCTTTCAGTGGGCTTATCAGCAGACTATACACAGGAGAGGAAAATATCAGTGAACTTGAAGACTTCTCAGTAGAAAGCTTCCAGATTGAAACACGGAGAGAGTGGAGGAGAAGGTAATGGAAAGTTCCCAAAGCCAAGAACCATCGCAGCGCGGGACCTGCACGGTGCAGCCGGCAGTCATCCTTTCCATGGCAGGAGGAGTGGCACTGCTTTGTCCACAGAGCAGGGTGACCCAGGACTTTCCCCTGCTGCTCCACAACTGGCTCTGCTTGGGTTTCTCAGTGACTGGTTGTGGTTTCAGCATTTCCTTTCATTCCTTGACTTGTAGCTGAAGGAGTGTCATGCAGAAAACTGTCTCTCTCTCTCTCTCTCTCTCTCACACACACACACACACACACACACACCCTCTGATCTGTACAACAGCTTCTGCATCACAGGCTCACTAGTGTTCTTCAACCCCAGAGCCTGGCATCTGCTCCTGTCCACCGCAGGATGGCAGCTCAGGGTGGCAGAGGTGGCTTAATACACTTTCATTTTTTTGCTTTTCCTTTAAGGGAAAATTGTTTGGCTTTGTCTCTTTTAAAACAGTGAACTGCATCACAAAGCAATGAATGAGTCAGCCTCCCTTTGGTTAAACCGAGTTTGGTTGCTAGGACAATACAGGAAGAACTATTTTTCTATATACATTAGGCCCTTTGAACTCATTCACTTCCGTTTCCAATGGATGCCCTTTGGAATATGTTGTAGGAACAGCCCTCAGTGTTCAGCCTGCTCCCAACCACATGACTGGAGCTGCTGTCTCCTGACAGATGACCACTGATGTTTACTTCACTCTGGAAATCCCACCCGTCTCCCTATAAATGAGCCCAGTATGCCAAGTCCTCTGTTGTCAATTGTTTGTTTGTTTCTTCTATGAACCTTTGAAAAAAGACATGTCTCTAGGCCAGTTATAGGAAGCTTCTGGAATCATCCACTGATTGAATATATAACTAACCTTTAAAAGAAAATATAGAGTTTACACTTGGTATGAAGGGCTATGTCAGGGTTAGAGGGGACACAGCAAGTGAAAAAGCTTGAGATGAGAAGGCACAAGCTCAGAGCAGGGAAGTCAGTTTCCAAAGTATTTTGAACTTTTCAGAAATGAACCATCTAGGAACAGAATGACCTCTGTTCTAGCAGAACAGTCATTCCCTAACAGTATAATGCGTAATGCTTTTAGCTCAGTTTGGATGAATGTAGCAGAGATGGTGAGGTACAGCTTGTGTGGTGCACCATCTAGTTGTATGTTTGAAGATAAGAAACTAGCAATCACAGTTTAAGATTTAAAATGTAGTGTGTAAATTAACACAAAAAAAGAGAGGCAGCCTCAAGGCTGCCTTGAGGCCAACTGATGGTGTGCCCACAGAATGTCCTCTATCAGTTGTCCCATTTTCAGCTCCTAGATGTTTCGTCCAGGGCTCTATCCTATAGTTTCAAGATAGGCAAGTATAGACTTCAGAGGGAGATCATGAAGGTGCCCCTGTCTCCTATCACCGACAGTGCTGTCGGGCTCTAGGAAGCTGTAACACGCTGTTTGCCAATGGTTGTCTGCCAAGTGAAATTTCCATTCCAGGTTGGAAATGCTGGCTGGCTGCCCCGCAAACACAGGCTTCACAGTGCGGGCAAAGCACCGTGCAGCAGAGTTCGAACTCACACTCTCCCCTGTCTACCAGTGGCACAGTATTGATCAGTCTGCCTCCCCGCCCCACCCCCCAGCAAAGCTCCCTGTGAGTCTCTGGCCACCCTCTAAAGTAGTTCAGGCTCCTTAGCCTAGAGATCTCAGTGCTTTTGTGGAAATCCAGTGAACCTCTTCCCAGCCTTGTCTCCAGCCTCTGTGATTCTGAGCTCTACCCTCCTGCTGTCTTCTTTGGTGTCTAATCCCATATGACTTACTCTACTTGGAATACCTTCTGCACCTTGGCTTGCTGGGATCACCATTGACCTTGACAGCCCAGCATGAGCATAAGTCTGCTTTGACCTCTCAACCTCTTAGGACCCTCTACATGAACTCTTTGTAGCACTTTATCACTGTTTTTTTTTTCTTTCTTCACCACATATGATAGTTTTGGGCACATGTCAGTCTCACCTATGAAAGTAGAATAATGCTTTTGTCACCACCGTGGTTGCTTAAACCACTCATCGTGTGCCTGTCTCAGAGCAGTGAGCATGCATTCACTCAGCAGCTGTTGGGGCGAATGTTGAGTCTCTGTATGTGCCACACTGCTCAGCACTGAGAGGCAAAGACAGCCCAGCAGCTGCAGATGCTGCCCCGGGGGCCTTACCTCCTCGAAGTGATTCTCCCCATCGTTTGCTGAATGCCTTCTCTGTGCTAGACACCGAACTAAGTGCTTTGCTTTTTCTCCCCCTACATAATCTTCACCACAACTTCAAAGAGGTAGGTTTTTCTGGTCACCATTTTCCACATGAAAACCTGAGGCTCAGAGACAGGAGATAGTTGGCTCAGGATCCCACAGTTAGTAAGGAACAGTGAGGTTGTGAGCCCACGTCTCTTAACTTCCAGGTTCGTAGCTGCAGCCCTTCACAAGGGTGACTACAGGGTTGGCAGCTGAGTGTGAGCAAGTCAGTGGAAGACTGGCTGTCTCAATTCCTTGTCTTCCTCTTGTGATACCATGTCTGTTTCCTCAGATTGAGCCGTACATGCCATATGAATTCACATGTGAGGGGATGCTGCAGAGAATCAACGCTTTCATTGAAAAACAGGTAAGGCTCTGCAGAGACCATCTGTCTGCTGTGTCCTGCTTCCTGCTATGCAGGCAGGCTCTCATGAAGAGTTAGGAGCTCACCATGGTTTTGTGATTATTTTCCTGATTTGAAAGACTCCAGAAGTTGGGTAATGGTTTGTTGGAATTCTAAAGCATGCCCTGTCATGGTCATCCAGCAGAGTTGGTCTGTCCTCGGGGAAAAATGTTCTTTATGACAGTGGCAGGCCAAAAGGAAACTTATGGGAGAAATGGGGTGGTCAAGATGGCAACCTGCCTTCGCTGGGTTCTGAGAAGCATCGAAACTGCTTGGGGGCGGGGCACAGAGACAGCCTCTGGTCCCGCCTGGTGGTCTTTTCTCACCCCAAGAACAGCAAGAACTGAACCCTGTTGTTTGCAAGCATTTCTTTAATATATGCTCTCTAACTCCAAATATGTTAGGACTTTTCAGCAGTTTTCAAACATCTATTAAAACAGGACCCCTTTTCAAATGAAACTTTACATGAAATCTAAATATATAAAACAGACAAAAGCAGAACTTGACTTCCAAAGCAGGGGAGGGTTCTGTAAGTTCCGCGACCCCGTCAGAGCCTGGGCGCTGTGGCTCGTGCTCATGGAAGTAAAGGCCAAGTGTGTCGTTGCTACCATTTATGACTCTGATTCCTCAGGCTTCAAAAGCGACAGATCTAGAAATAGGCAGACCGAGAACCCCTGCAGGTGGGGAGTGTGAACTCTTTGACCAGATTCCAGAAATAAGGGGCTCCCCTTAAAGGGTATAAAGCAGAGTATCTTGGGGTGATCAAGAAATCTTTACACAATAGGGGCTGAGGATTGTGCAGACTAAAATAGAAATGGTATGTTAAAAATGTAAGTAGGCATAGATCATAGGCCCAGTATAGGTTGCACAGGTAAGATTTGCATTGACAGCCCATGGTGAGCAGCAGACAGGGTGCTGCTGTTGCGGGGGGCTGCAGGCCGAGGCTTCGGGGTGGCCGTCTGATCCTCTGATTTTTTTCGGCCAAGGATGGCACACTGCAGCCAGCCACCTGGGTTCCGATCCCATCACCGTGACTTTGTCGTTGTATGACATGGGTGTGTTACTCAGCCTCTCTGTGCCTTAGTTTCTACTCCGAGGAAATAAGGTTAATAATAAAATCACAGAGGGCTGATGTGAGGGTTCAGACAGCTAATACATATGACGTGCTTAGAACAGGGCTGGCATGCAGTGCTCAATAAATGCAACTGGTATGTTGGTTACCTAATACATTCTGTCATGTACAGTATTGAACTACATTCTTACATAGACCTATTTTATTATTATGTATTATACAGTGTTACTCATCAGACTTTACCATGAAAGCTTAGCATTTGAATTATTATCATGCAGTTTTTGTCTGACACCTAAATTAAGAATGACAGTATCATCCTCTTAACTCGAGCAGCCATTTACCTACAGACTTCATGGCAGTGTGTACTGAGCTCATCACAGTGCATCACCTCATTTAATTCTCATGTGACCCTGGGAGGTGGCAGTAATGACCCCACTCTCTGGATGCTGGGGACTCAATCTCACAATCACAGGCTCACAAGTCCTGGAGTCAAGGCTTGATGCTGGGTGGCCTGCACCCAGGCCTGCACCCAGGGCACTGCGGGGCCGGGCCGAGGCAGGTGGCCTACGTTTCTCGTCTTGTTTTACCACAAGCAGCTGCTGGTCCCCACTGAAGGTGCAGCAGGAGCTGCTGTGGCCTCCTCTGGCAGTGAGTTTTACAACACAGCTCTTCTGACCGTCCAGGGAAGTTGCAGTCTCACCAGGACCCCTGCAGCTGCTGCTGAAACCCACCCCGTCTCCACTTCCTTCAGGGAAAAGGGTTACTCACCACCACAAGTAAAAGGACTCTTCATCAAGTATATTTGAAGGCTTTGCTTTCTTTCTTTTCTAGGACTCTTGAATCCCAGCCAGTCCTTAAAAGTTCTCATGGGGCCCATTCTCTTTAAATCTGTTACTCAGTTTCCTTTCAAGCAGGGAGGTTGTGCACCCCAAACAGGCCTTGCTAATGCTACATAATGCGGGGGCCATGCCGATCTTGTTCACCTCTAAGTGCCACGTGCCTAGCCCTCTGCCTGGCACATAGTAGGTGCAATGAATGAGTGGGTGAGTGAGCACGTGTGTTCTGGCTTTTTGTGAGTGTGTGCACCGGGAAGCTCATCGTGGACCTTATGATTGGAAAACATGTGACTAAAACATTCCAATGAGAACATGCTAATGGAACTGCCCTTCCACACCACCTCCTGGTTGGAGGCTTCTCTGCAGAGCTCTGTGGCTCACAGAAATCCGGAGCTTGCTTTCTTGCCTGCTGTTGTTCGTTCATTCATCTGTTCAGTAAATACATGTCAGCTGTGTGCTGTGGTCTGTGCCAGGGGCTGAGAGAGAGATGTCAAAAGACTTGTTTTTGTCCTCAGGTAGCTTCAAGTGTCACAGAGAGGCCAGCCCAGTCCACAGGCAAAGCCACTGGTGTAGGTTACACCTTGTAACAGTGATGTGACCAGGGTGCTTTGGAATCACACAGCTGGGCCTGCAGGGTGGGGCAGGGGTGGGGAGTCTGTGCTGGAGCACTGGCAGGCGGTGAGTCTGGAAGGCACACCGGGGTGACGGGGTGACGGGGTGACGGGGAGGAGGGCGGGGGCATCAAGACGCAAAGGCCTGGGGAGAAAATACAGAGAAATCCTGGTGAAATACTGGAAGTTCAGCTACGACTGAAGAGAGAGGATGTGAGAGGGCGAGGCTGGGGAGGAGACGGATCACAAAACAAGGCAGACGCTCAGGTGGAGAATTCCGATTTGATGGTGGGACGGCAGGAAGCTAAAGAAAGCTGTAAGGCTGGATGAGGGCAGTGGTGCTGTCGGATTGGTGTTTTAGGAGAACCACTCTAGGAATCCTCTAGGTATTTCTTATTAAACATTCTCCTAGAGCTGCAAAAAGAGCCATGAAGGGACCCATTTTGAGTTTATCCCAGACTTCTGTGAAGGCTTTTATTGATGCCATAATGTTCCCCCAACTCCACCGGGAAGACAGGAAGCCAGAACTCCAGTGGCTGACAGATTGGGTCTTCTGCTCTAACAGGTGCCTCCGGGCCACGGTGTTTTGGAGCTTTGGGCGTTCATTATTTTTTCAGCTAGAGGGATATCTTCAAAGAGCAGTGAGACTGGAGAGAAGGGAGTTCCTGGTTTGAGCAGGAAAGCCTCAAGCTCTGGAGAGGTGGTAGCACCCCAAGCTTCCCATAGGAGCCACAGCCCTAATTAGGCTGATCTCTGCCTCCAAGTCCTCCCTGTGATCTACAAGAGGAACAAGGAAGCTTTCATCCCAGAGCCCTTTCAGAGGTGTCCATCACGCTCACTGAAGGCGGCAGGAGCCAGAAGAGGCCAATTGACCGCAATCGCGAAAGCCCCAGGCATCAACATACAGCTGAGTGTTTGACAGCAGGACACCTACCTCGTGCCTGCCGACCCTGCTGGCGCATCCAGCAAGATTCCTGGCTTCAGGACAACCACTTGCTTTTTCCCTTTAATGTCCTTGCCTCCTTTTTACCGTATGAAAAAAATGTTGATTTGGATTGCAAGCTCTTTTAAATCATCTCCCCCCCCCCCCATGAGGTCTTCTCTCCGGCAGCAGGAGGTGGCAAAGCAAAAATCCTGTTATCCGAGATCAGGAGTGCCATTCTTCCCTGGCCTGAGTGGGCCCCGGCCTGTCAAGTTTCTCGTGTATTTCTTGGCAAAGACTTAGGTGTTTGCCTCAGGCCAGAGAGTATAGCGGGCTCTTTTAAATGAATGGCGATCAACAATGCTCAGATTTCTGAAAACCATACCTATGTTCGTCAACCCTACTTCCTTGTGCTCACATTATTTGGCAGAGAGCTGTGTAATTCACATGAAAAGCACTTTGGAGATATGGAGGGAAAAACGAGTTAACTCCAGGAGCCACTGTGGAATCAGCTTCAGTTCCGGGGAGATCAACTCACCTTGAACTCCTTGGGGATTAAGGACAAGCCTAGTAGCGAATCCGGATAGTCCGGTAGGAGCAGTGGTGGAGGTGACAGGTTGCAGGGCTAGAAGAAAAGGGATGGAAAAGGGGAGAGGTTGTTGTTACTGGACAGGGGCCTGGCGCTGAGCAGGTCTGCCTGGGACCAGCTGGTATTGTGTGGGCTCGTGACTTTGTGCAGGAAAGAATTTGCAATATGAGTCCAGGTGAGCACGAGAACCTTCAAAGCCAAACTGCAAAACGTGAGTTTCTTGGAGGGTTGCGGAACGAAGCTGCCTGGGTCTGGTCTGAGGCCATTACTGCTCTCCCGCACTGTTGCCTTCCTGTTACTGTCCCCAGAGGTGGAACGGAAATGGGGGCCCCAGGTACTCGATGACCTGCAAGTCCTTCACTTCATCCTTTCAAGGTCACTTACCACCTTTTAACATGTATATGTAATTTATTTATCTTGTTTTTCTGTCTTCCTCATTGTTATAAACTCTATGAAGACAAGGGTTTTGGTTCCTTTTTTTTCCACTGAGTCACCCCGGTAGACCTAGGCAAGTCCCTTGCATATAGTAACAGTGAGAGCCAACCACAGGTGGTGCTATTTACATCAGGCGTTTTTCTGAGCACTGTATACATTATAATTAATCACATCTGCTTCTCTGGGAGGTAGCAGTTGATATATTCTGAATTTTACCACAAAAAACTGATGCAAGATTATGTAACTAGCCAAGAGCACTCAGCTAGTGATTGGATGAGCTAGATGCAAACCCAGGTGTTTTGAGTTCTGGACCATTGTGCTTTTCTGCTTCTTAGCAAATATTTTGTTGAATGAATGAATGAGAGCGTACAGCAAGGAGACGAGTTGGCATTGCTGTGTTAGCCTATGCTGAGGTTGACAGAAAGAGAAGACCCCCAGCCTCCCGTGAGCATCTGGGGGGTGGGGACTGGATCTAGGGGTGAGAAGAGGCTTCCGACAGGGGTGGCAGGTACAGGTGTACCCTGCAAGCAGCGGGGCAGAGGGATGGCTCTCGTGGGCAAATCGCCATGTGCAATCCAGGCAACCGGACTTCTTACCTCTGGACCCTGGCGGCAAAAAATGGTTGACCTTGGAATATTATCTTTCACATTTCTAGGTACCTTCTTAAGAGTCACCTCATTTCACCTCACAGGAATTATGTGAGGACTGAAGGACGAATGCAAAGAAAGCTAAATGGACATCTATGAAGTCCACCAGCTGGGGCCAGAATCACAGCCCGGATCCCCACACTCTCCCCTGCTTTACCTGTGACAAGGCACAGGTCCCGTGCTTACTGGGAACACCTTTAGACCTCCCTTTGTTCAGTTTATCAGGTGGTTCACCAAGCGTTAATAAGGTCCTGCTGCTATTTTTTCTATCCTCGATCCTACTGGCCTCCAAAACAGACCTCTGATGGGATGCCAGACCAGCACCCAGTGAGCCCTGAGTAAGAGTGACAGGGGCCCCAGTGCACGTATAATTGAGCTAAGCTCACCTATTGAAGGGGATCTCAAAAAGGTCGGCCGCAGCGGTTTACTCAGATCCGCCCTACTGCGCACGCTGAGGGCACTTCCTCAGGGTGCAGGGTGCCCCATGTCTGCAGACGCAACACCGCTGTTCCTGCAGCCTCTGTGCAAGCACAGGCACCCCCACCCCAGTGAGGGACGGGCCGGGGGAGGTGAGCGTGAGCAGGCCGCCTGCTGCTTGCCAGTCTTCTGCTCGGCTCCATCACTGAGTCTGTTAGCATCACTTTCTAGAGATGAGTGACAGGGACAGGACCAGACTGAGCAGCAAGCCCAAGGCGCCACGGGGAAACAGCTCCAAACCCAGGCCTTCCGACCCGAAGTGCCTGCCTTGGCCACATCAAGTCCTTGTTTATTTTGCCCCTGGGACTACTTCACATGCCACAAGAGGCTAAACATGAATAAAGAGCAGAGTTTCTTAAGAGACCGCTAAACTCAACAGGTCTAGAAAGACTGCCCCCAGCTCTAGCTGCCTGCAGGTGTCATATAAGGAAAGGCACTCGTGGTTTTCTTGCAAGCTCTACAAGCCGGAGTTTGAGCCTTCAGCCACGTGCGCTTCCAGTTCCCTGGCCAAATGAAGGGTTGGGCCCAGCTAAATCCTGAGGCAAAGAGCAAAATTCTCACTTGGCTCCTAGAGGGTGGAGCCTTGGCTTCTACTTGGTGTAGACGGTGTGATCTGACCTGAGTTTTTCTGGTGGTTTTCCTATTCTGGATAGTCACAGAAGAGGCTTAGGTGTATGTGGGACTTAAAGTCTCCTTATTATAATACTGAAATGCCACAGAAGTTACCAAATGTCTCTTAACGATATGTAAACAAAGTTGCTTGCATTAGCCAGCCAGAAAAACAGATTAAAAAGGACCCCTTAACCTTTTCCCAGTGTCCATGCGCCCACTCAGATCTCACCAGCAAAACCTCATTGCTCACCTGTGTCCTCCTCCGTCCTGTTTGATGACAGACTCCTCATGAGATGGACAGAGAATAAGGGTCAGCCAGTATGTTGCCTTATGCCACCAGGTAAGAGAGGGACAGTCACCCGTGAACACCCTGTTTCCAGTCAGGTGCCACCAGTCGGCAGTCATGCCGCCACCCTGTGACCGCATCCAGACCGAAGTTAGTGTGCTGCCCTGCCTCGGCAAGCAGCAGCGAGCTCCAGGTCATCTCGAACCTGGGGAGGTCGATAAGCGTCTTCCCGCCCAACCTGGTGACGCCCAGAGCCATGTGGGGTACACTCCACTCACCCCAACCCCCGCTGCCATGCGTCCCTTTCAGACTATTAAGCTGATCCTAGTATCTCTACATATTTCATTGTATCGCTGTGGTCTCCGAATTACTACTCTTCTGGAATCTTCTGTTTTCAGCTGATAGGGATCCAGGCCTGGGTTTCCAACCATGGTGCATTGAAGGGTACTTTTGGGGTCTCGGTCGCTGATCTAAACAGACTGGAATAGAAGCCCCATGAGTGCCCACCACCTGCCAGTGGCCTTTCTCAGCAGGTAGTAGTATCTGTCTTTCAGGAAGGAGGTAGGAAAAGCAAGAACCATGGGAAAGCATCCGTCGTCATCTTTATTCTTACCATGAGGAAACAGGCTTCATAACGTTACGCATTTTGTCCAGAGTTTCACAGCTGGTGACAAGGAGCAGGAAGTACTTGCAGGGCCCGCTGCAGGTGGAGTTGGGGGCCCATTTCACTTTGCTCTTGTTTGTTTTCATTTTGCTCGCTAAAAGTAATACAAGCACAGGTTTTTAAAAAATTGGGAATGATACAGAGGCCCCTCCTGGGGGCAGCTCAGGCCTGCTTTCCAGGGACCACACCCACGTCTCTGAGGGGCCCAGCAAGGTCAGGCTGCCCGCCCCACCCCAGCTGCAGGGCTCCACGGCCTTGCTTCGCCCGCACCAGCTCCGAAGTTACCCGTCAGCTCCCAGTCCGAAAAGTTGGGAAGGAAACTTGAGGAAAAATAAAACATTCCAGAAGGACACACACTGAAAAGTAAATTTCCTCACCACTCCTGGTCTTGATTCTCCATGTCCTTTCTCAGTGGCACCCGTGCCAACCAGGGATGTCCCTGCAGGAGCAAATGCCCGTTCAGGTGCATCTTTCCGTCTGCGTCCCAGGGTCTGACACAGTGGGAGCACCTCACAGCGTCCTGCGCGCAGCTGCTTTCGCCTCTCCGTGTAGCCCGGGCACAGTTCTGGCCCCAACACAGACCTGTTGCATTTTTGTTATTATCTCTATTTAGACAGTTGCCTGTTTAAATACAGACACCCAGCTGTTTCACTTCTAATGCTTCTATGCTGACCACGCTGCATGGTGTCTTGTGCAGCTGTCTCTGCACCAGGCGTCCCTGCATGTCAGCGGGGCGCATTCCTACAAGTGGGGTTTGGAGCCCGGGATCCTAACCACCACTGGGCACTCCTGGGGCCAGCTGCCCCAGAAGGAGTTAAACTCGCAGGCCCCCTGCACAGACAGACGGCACCTTCCGCAGGTGGGACAGCCCAGGAACTCCAAGGACAGGGCGAGCAGAGTGAGCTCTGGCTGCCAGGGGTGCGTGAGTGCTAGAGCCGGCACTGCTGGCTGCACAGGGTGGCTTCGGGCACAGCCGAAATGAACGCCGGGCCCCAGGTCAGAGCCTCCACTCCTCTCCCTTTCCAGCCCCACTCCCTCCTCTCGCCACCCAGGAGGACGTGGGTCCTCCACCCACGGGACTTCCCTCTGCCCACCCCACCCCCGCCGCCCCGGGACTTCCTTGGGCACACTGGATGCCTCCAGTCCCTCTAGACCCTGGGAGTGACCGGCCTCGCCCCCTTCTGAGCTCCCTACACCTGTGCTGGGGGAGCCTCTCTGAGGGGCTGCCAGGTTACTTCACGTCCTATCACACATCCTCAGACTGTTTACTTCACTGTTGAATTGGTGCGTGTTGGAATTGTTTTCAACCAACAACGCCAGACCCCCCCCCCATCGAAAAAACATGACCCCTTGAGAGGCTGTGTGAGTGACACCCACATGTGTCTTGCCATCTGCTTTGCTTCGTGAAGTTGAAACTGGTGCTCACAAAAGTATCATGTTAGGTAACTGCCAAATTAGGCAGACACTGGGAATTAGAGCAGAGGAAACTGAACAGCTGTTGGAGGGGGGTCCGGAGTTGGGCCCTGGAGGGCGGAGGACTTAAACAGCTGGGTTGAGTGCTTACTGGTGGTAATAACTGGCCTTGGTGCTGCGCGCCCAATGGCAGCACCTCTCGTCCTGTGACGGGAGGTCCTGCTGTCCCCTTCCCATGCTAGGAGGCTGGAAGGTAGAGAGGTGAAGAGCTGGCCCAAGGCCATGTTCTGGCTGAGCCCAATTCCAACCCAAGTTTGTCTGGCTCCCACCTCCTCCCTTCACTGCCCCACCCCTCTCAGCAGACGCCTCCCCTTGTCCCACTGCGCGCGGGGCAGGCTGGGGATCGCCAGCTGCGTCTTTGGTCCCTCGGCTGATAGCTTCATTGTCATTCTAGGACTTCTGCCATGGGCAAGTGATGTGGCCACCCCTCAGCGCCTTGCAGGTGAAGCTCGCCGAGCCCGGGCAGTCCTGCAAGCAGGTGTGCCAGGAGAACCAGCTCATCTGTGAGCCTTCTTTCTTCCAGCACCTGAACAAGGAAAAGGACATGCTGAAGTAGGTGCCGGGTGGGGTCGGGGCAGCTCGGCTTGCCTGTGCGTTCGAGCTGGGTTGAGAGGGGTGAGGTTCTCGTTTCCAGGCTTGTTGGCTGCCGGGGAAGGATTTGGGGAGCAGGCTGCAGCAGGATCCCCCAGAGAAAGTTAGCCTGGCATCGTTACTGTTAGGTGGATGAGGTCACCTGGCATGCTGATATATTTAGAATTCAAATGGGGGTTCTGTATTTGCATAAATAATGTCATGCCTGGTCTTGGAGATTGTGGGAGGTGTTTACTCTGCTAATGTCACACCAAGAACCGTGGGAGTGGAGTGGGTACAAAACCACAAACAGTTGCCCCGCCCGCAGATGGCCCCCAGCTGTCCAAGCAGCGCAGGTGGTGGGTGACAGTCTTGCGTCCTGGAGTCGGGAAGCAGTGAGGAATACGGGCAAGGAGCTGGCACAGAACCACCACGGTAGTCAACTGCCACCTCCCCCTGCTGCAGCCCCCATCCCCTTTTACTCTTCCCGGCACCTCTGGAACAGGTGCGCTGCAGGGGCAGGCCTGACCCGCAGTGTGCTCGCCACCCCCCCACCCCCCCTCAGCGGGAGGGAGGGCCATCTGCACCACATGACCCTTGGCACTCCCTTGCCCAGTCCTGGGATCAGGACCCCATCAGCAGGCCTGCCTCTGGGGGACGGGTCTAGGTCCCTTGAGGGGACAGGAAGGGGAGCTGATGGGCCACTTTCCTCAGTCTTCCCACCTGTAAAGTGGGGACATCCTGGGTGATGGTGACATGATGTGCAGCCAGTGCCGAAGACAAGGCAGAATGGCCCCTGCTTCCCAAGAGCCCTGGGCAGTGGGGCAGCCCGGAGTCACCAGGACAGGACGGGAAAGCCAGGCCGTGCGTGGGACCACCCAACCCGTCCCACCCTGCATTGTAGATGTTTCTTCCTGGGAGACAGCGGTGGCGGCTCTTTTGCAGTAAAGCCGCCTGAACTTACTGCTCTGAACGTCGGCACCCTATTGAACGTCAGCACCCTACTGAACGTTGTCCCCAAGTTCGTAAATTCTGATCACGTTGTTAACCACCCGGCCCTCCTCACTGTCTGGCGGTCCATCGAGTGCCCCCTCGGAGTGAGGCAGTCCTGGCCCAGCCGTGTTGATGGCCAGCTCGCAGTGAGGGCCTCCTACAGCAGTGCCGCTTTCTCTTCTCCAGCTTGGGGCCTGGATTGTGAATGAATTGCGTCCTTCGGAGTGGCCCACACTGTTGTCTTCAATTCGGGACACAGGTGGCCAGTGTCTGAGCTCCGGTACAGGCCGGGCATGGTGTCAGTGCTGGAGGGGCGACCACAAACTCCGCACAGAGCATGCGTGGCCAAGCTGTGACCTAGCCTGACCCAAACCAGAGGGCAGAGACCCTGGAAGGAGCTGGAGTGCCCAGTGGGGAGACCTGGGCTCTGTGAATAAGAATGGGCATTAATGTGAGACCTCACTCATGAACTGGCTACCTCTCCAAGTTGTGTCTTCTACGAGGAGCAGTGCCAGCTTCCCCCTGCCGGGGGTTCGGAGGCCCAGGGAAAGACGGGCCTTTGCCCTTTCATTCCCATCCCGTAAGAGAAGCTGCCCGGGCCGACCCGGGGTCTGCACCTCTGCAGAACGGAAACTACAGGCTGTGCCAGGAGTCTCCAAGCAGGTGTGAGTGAGTGAGTGAGTGAGTGAGTGAGTGAGTGTGAGTGTGTCCGAGAATGGGTATGACAGGCATCACAGGAATAGAGAAGCAGAAACAGTGACGTGTGCACCCTGAAAAGCAAGAGGCCCACGGACAGGGGACAAGGACGCTGGCCTGCGGAGGCTGGCGGGAGTCTGGGCGCACTCCCCTGGGGGGGAAAGCCACCTCGCCTCTTCGATGACTGCCACGCACTAATTAAGCAAGAATGTTGGAGCGGCCTTCCTGACCGGCCAGGGCTGTGGGGCAGGGACCTGCATGGTGAAGAAAGGGGGAGCCCCAGGGTGCCGGAGCCGTGCGCACCCACGGCACGGGATCAAGGGAACCCTTGTGGGGCTGCCTCATAACGGGCTCCTGTGGCTCTGGTGGCACACGCTGTCTAAGCAAGCACTCTGTGGCATCGTCCCAGGCAGGCTGCTTCCACCAAAGCCTCTGCCGCCATGTGCTCACACCCAGGAAGCTGGGGCAGGAGCCAGAAGCCAGGAAATGCAGGGGCTGGAGCAGGAGGGTCTCTTCATGGCTCCTGACAATTGTACCCCTGGCCACAGGGTCTGAGACTAGTTGTAGACATTTCCACACTCCTGGTGAGCAGGGCACCAGGCAGAAGAGTTGATTTAAGACACACCAGCTGCTGAAATTCACCTAGATAAAGAGCGTAAGCCTGACCGTTTCCCAAGGCCACGCTCCACATGGAAACGTTCAGTGCACAGATGAGCGCTGGAGACCCCTTTCTGTGGCTTGACCAGCAGGGGCATCTCGGGTTGGACACGGAAGCCCCAAATTTCTGACTCATTTTCCTTGAGGAAGTCTGTAAAACCCACACTTCCTGCTCTCACCTTCATGGTCCGTGACCTTAATCCTCTGGGTGCCTCCATCTCCCAGCTGACAGGCCAAGAGCAGAGGTGTCAGGGCATTTAGAGATGTCACAGAGCTCTCTGGTGACTGCAGAGCAAGATAAGAGGGAAGGCCACCCTCCGGAGCAGCAGGAGCCCGGCCAGCAGCTCCCCAGAGCCCCCTCGTCCCTGCCAGATGCACTGGAAACCGCCTGATTGATGTGGGCAAGGGCTCCGAGCCAGGGAGTTTGTTAGCTGGCTGGAGGAGGACCAAAGCGGGCAGGAGTAACGGGGGCTGAGAGGGTGGGTGTGTAATACACTGCTTCTCTTCCAGTATCTGGAAACTTTCCAGGGGCAGCAGGAAACCTCAGGTTCCCCAGCTGGATCCCCACCTTTCAGCAAGAATCGAGGCTTCTGTGAACACAGGAAAATGCAGGCGGCTGGCGTGTGGGTCAGTTCGCGCTGCAGGGCCAGGGAGGAAGGCGGCCTAGCTCACCCATGTCTGCCAGGGCAGGGCGGTCATGGTGACGATGATGATTGTAATAATAGCCCTTCCCCAGAGCTAGACTTGGCCCGTGCTCTGTAAGTGCTGCTGTCGTTCCCACACCTCCCCTGCGAGTGAAGGGTTGTCCATCCCCAGTTCACAGAGAGGCTCAGTCATTCATCCAGGGTCACAAATGGAGCCAGGACTCAAATCCAGGTCAGCCCGGCCCACCTGTACCTTCTCTGCATCTCCAACCCACGAGCCTTTCTCTTCCTCCTCAGGTACAAAGTGATCTGCCAAAGCTCAGAGCTGGCCAAGGACATCTTGGTGCCCTCTTACGACCCCCACAACAAGCACTGTGTGTTTCAAGGTGACCTGCTGCTGTTCAGCTGTGCAGGCGCCCACCCCAGGCACCAGAGGATCTGCCCCTGCCGGGACTTCATCAAGGGCCAGGTGGCCCTCTGTGAAGACTGTCTATAGCGGCCACCGGCTGGGCCCCACACGCACTCTGCTGGGGAAGACAGTGGCTCCCGCCCCGTCCTGGCAGAGCCAGGGGGCAGACGTCATTTGGGGACTCTCGCCAGAGCCTGGACTTTTCGGTGGAAGGTTTCAATTTGGTGTTGCCCTGCTGGGGTCGGAGCATCGCAGTGGAGTTTTCACCAAAACACAAGAGCAGACAGCGGGCCGGGAGCCTGGTTCTGCTTCCTGGCACAACTCTGTCTTATTTTTTGAGGAGCAACCGTAAAGAGCGAATCTCAAGATTCATTTAAAACGAAAAACCAGAGGAGGAATCCAGCTGGTCGGAAAGAACTTTGTGTTTGAGAACATTCCTAAATCCATTAACTTATTTATTTGGGAGGGCAGGCGGGGGATCAGGGAAGGGCAAAGAGGTCTTGATTATAGGTCTTGTTTCTTTGATTTTCCACTGTTTACCATCCACCTTCACTGTACTGTTTTTTTTTTTTTTTGGTCTGCTTCGGGCAGGGTACAGGCGGGAGAGGTGGTGCGCCCTGAGGCTGGGCACACGCCTGAGGGTGGCTGTGGGGGTAGCCCCTTACAGTGGGTGATGGCAGCACAAAAGACAGTCTTGTGTGTGCTTGAGGGGTGGCAGCCACAGGTCAGGAGGGGGACAGCCCAGCCAGGGCAGGAAGTGCAAGGTTGGGAAACTGACATTGCGTGTGTGTGGTGAATTCGAGGTGCAGGACTGAGAGAGCTACTTGAGACTCCGTCGTGATGTTGCCTGTGAGCTGGGACTGGACAGGAGTGAAGCTGGCCCTGGGGACCTGGTGTCACCCCTGGAGCTGGGCTCCAAACAGGTGGGCTCGTTACATTCTCTGTAATGTCTGACATTGGACCGAAGTCCAGGGAATGGGATCTTGGTGAACTTGACATTGGCTGGGGAAGCAGGGGCAGGCCGAGATGAAACTCACAGTCCTTGCCACTCACCGGTGGGGGGCGGGGGCGGCTTTCACTCCAGGCACCAATATTCCAAGGAAAACAAGCCAGTTGCCAGCCTGGCCTGGCCAGACTCATTGGACCCCCCTCTCCAGCCCTGGAGCCCCTGCGCTCTGCCTTGTGTGAGTTCCCCACCCCCACTAAGCAGCGTTTCAGTGCTTTGGGTGCTTTCCTGTGGAGCCCTTGGCATCCCGTGCTGGTGAGAGTAAGCCCTCTCCTCCTCCTCAGAGTCTCCCTGTGGTGAGTTGCTGTGATACACCCAGCCCTCGGTGGCTCTCGGTGCCTTGGTGGCTCTGGCAGCCCTGGCTTCCCAACACCCTGCATTCCCAGGGAAGCTGGCCCCGCCTCCAGCAGGCAGGACAGCTGGCCAGGCTAATCCCTGGGTTTAGCCTTCAAGAAGTGAGACTAAAGGAAGGGCTGTTTCCTGAGGACCAGAGCGAGTGGGGTCTTTAGGTGTGGAAAATTAGATGCTGCCAGCTTTGCAGTTCTCCCCTGGTATGTAAATACCAAATGCACAACCAGCCCTTTTTTTTTCCTTAACTTAGATTCTCGGTCTGAATCCCACCTCCAATCCTAGAGAATGGAGGGGGTGAGGAGGGGCAGCTGGGGTCTCCCCCGCCCCTCAGGTGGCCCCGGAACACGTGTGCCAGGGAGAGTGCTGACCGGCAGGCCTGGGCCCGGCCACAGGGGCACAAGTCCAAAGGAAACCTTGGTAATAGGGTGTGAGTAAGTGTGGGTGTGTGTGTGCTTTGAAGCTGTGCAAGGGCAGTTTCCTGCAGTAGGAAGAGAAATAACTGCCTCCCGTGCTGTTAGGAATTGCTTTTCCCTGTGAAGGGGCCTCTTGGCTGCACTGTAAATTGTGCGAATTTGCCTGAGTTCCCCACCCTGCGATTCCTGGGCCGGTGCCGCCCTCTCCTGGGCTCTTCCAGGAGCTTCCAATGGTGAGCACGTCAGTGTAGGCATTAGACCAGCAGGGGGAGCCTGCGTGCCAAAACCAATTTCCCACACTCCACAAGGCTAACCTATTTTGCAGAGGGCTGTTTAAATAAGCACAGGAACTCAGAAAACAAGGAAGGTGGAAAGCTACATTCTACACAAAGACGCTGTGCCTACCTTGTGTTCCAAAAGCTGCAAAGATTATTTGCTGGCTGCCTGAGCTCAGGGCCTCCCCTTTTCTCCTCTCTGTGTCAGGACCCTCGGGTCAGACAGTCCAGTGAGCACTTTCCCCACTTCAGGTCTCTCGTCTCCACCAGCCCAGTACTGGTCGAGGTAATGCAGAGTTCTGCAGGGGCGCTGCTGCACATGGGGCAAACCATCCCACACTTCACATGGTTGAAGGCATTATCAACAGGCCGTGACACTGGAGAAGTGCTGGCTGCCGGCCCCCAGCAGACGTCACCGCCGGTCAGTGGTCCACAGTCAGTGGTCCGCAGCAGGAACCTTGGGAGGGCCCTGCGTCTGCCGTGTGTGCAGAGAGGTGTGACTCCTGCCTGCCCTGGCGGAGGGCGCCTCTCGGGGTGTGGGCCTCGGGTGACTCTTGTTACTCGAGTCCTAAACCAGCAGCCCCACACCAAGAGAGGTCCTGAGCCAGGACCAGTGTCTTCCTGTGCTAGGAGCATATCTTGCCTGGGCTGTAAGTTTTTGTACATTTTTTTTTCCTAAGTGAAATTTGCCCCACCCCACCCCCTGGGATCTTGGGTTCTTAAAAAACTTGAGGGAAAACATTTAACTAATTTATTAAAAGAGAAAAAGCTTTCCTTTGACATGTAAACACTTTCAGGAGTAAAAGCTCCTCAAAGGGGAAACACACTTTTAATGCCAGTAAACACCTCATTTTATTTTTTGTACATAATTTGATTTGCACATGTACAAACGGAGAGGGGTCTTTTTGCATTTTTGCTTAGATTGGGGTTTTGTCTCTGCTTATACTTTGTTTTTTGTGTGTTTGCTGTATGTTTGGAAATATCGAGAGTCCGTTTCTTTGTTGATATTTATTGTTTCTCTGATGTGCCTTTTCACTTTTCTTTGGGGTTGGTGTGGGAATCTGGGTGCTGTCAAAGGAAGACAGAGGGCTCCTGCAGCTTGCAGACAGGGCCTGTCCTTTATCACTGCGGAAGCTCAGGCTGGGCACCAGAAACGCCCTTCAAGCCCCCTTAGCCACCACGGTGTGCGCGTGCTCCCCCCATGCAGCCCGAGAACCCCAAGAGAAGTGCAGGCTTTCTCGAGACCAGCCCACACCTTCCCCAGCTGCTCGGTCACGGTCACGTCCTCGGGCCTGGGGGCTGCTGGTTGCCCGTGTGCCGGTGGGCCTGTGCTCCGTGCCCCCAGACATGTAGGAGGCGCGGCCCGAGAAGACCACCCGCCCTGGCTGGGGGGTGGCACTAACGGGGAGCATTACCCAATGAACTCATGAGTAGCACCGGCCCCTTAGGCACTGAATCTGGTTGACATCATGGAGGGGAAGGGAGATGCACACCTCCGTTGTGTCCTTAGTGAGCACGGGGTTTAATCAAAGTGACTGCTGGGCTCCACTTGAGAGCAGAGGCCTGGTGCTTCTCACTGGCCACGGAGGCGTCCGAGACGGGCTGACGGAAACTGTGCTGTTCACAGGTGGGTTCGTGCTTTCCAGACCAGACTGAGGCAGGCCACCCCGCTTCTCCAAGGCGATCTACCGGGATCATGTATGGGATCGGGGTATTACCACCCTCTTCCATGGCCCCCAAATTCATGATTTTAAAAAGTCCATTTTGTTAAACCACAGGCTCTGTTGTATGTGCTATCATCCCAAGCCTGGATTTATTTTTAAAAAAATACTTGCTTTCACATTGGCTTCATTCTAATTCCATCTGTCCCTATAGGGCTACAGCGCACCTTCATGTGAAGAGAGGGATGGACATAGATTCAGGCTTCTTTTTGAAGGTGGGGATTTCCTAAAGCGGAGGACGAGTTCCTTTTGTTCTTTCTGGCTTCAACAAAAAGTGGAAAACCAAGTTTTTATCGCAGAAGGCCAAATTAGCTGTGTAGTCTCAGATGCAGGAAAAAAATTAACCTAGCTTTCTTAGCACTTAGGGGTTTTGTGAGGATTCAGTGTTTAGCAGTGTCTGGCACATAGTAAGCTCTAGTAAATGTTAAATATTGTTGTTATTAGCATTTCACAAAAGTTGAGAAATAAAGAGCTGAGCTCACTCCCTATCAGCTGGTTCATGTAATACCTACGTGAGACTGTCCTGGGGTTGATGAAATGTTATAGAGGATTCGTGGACTTAGCATCTCCGAGGCCCGGGCCCACCCTGCTGCTGAGGACGTCACCGTGACCCTGAATGCACTGACTGAACTGAAAGTGTGCCTGACTTCAGCACCAGATGAAACCAGGCTGCAGGGACTTGTGTACAGGAGATGACAAGGGTGACCTCTGGTCCCATGCAGGACCTTACCCCACTGATACCTCCTGGACCACTCCAGAGTTTTTCTTTATGCAACCTTTTGAGCTAGAAATTAAAGTGAATGTTTTCATTGACTGTACCCCTTAAAAGTTAACTATATTCCTCAGAAGTGTCGTAAGAGAGGCTTTCCTGTTCTGAGGGGGAAAGGAACAACCAATTAAACTTACTCATTCCCCAGGAAGTCCCTCTGCTGTCCCCTGCTGGTCAGGGTGGCTCCTCCACAGTCTAGTGCACAGGGATCGACTCCTGGGCGGGTTAGTGGTGACAGGTTTGCATGGGCTAAGAGAAGATGCCCTTCTCCCCCAGGGCTGCTGCAGCTGGCCTGAGGGACCCCAAAACTATCCCACCTTCCTGGTGAAGCCATGGGTGGAGGGGGGGAGAGTATCTTCAGAACTGTTCCCAGAGGCTGCTCATGGTTCAGTGAGTTTTTTTTTCCCAAATGTCAGTTCACTTTGGTTGGGGTGTAAGCCTCTTGCTCCCTGATTTAGAGCTGTATGTCCCCTCCTGTCTCCGTGCTCTTCTAGATAGATTGCAGTTGTGGAATATGGAGGAATTTGCTGGAGTCCTGTCTTGAAGTTCCTTTGTTTTCAGCAGAATCAGCAGTCTTAGACTTTGGTGGGTATAGGACTAGAATTTACCTCCTTCAAAGCATCATTTCCTCTGTCCCCGATTTTGTGGAACCTGAGACTGGTCCCCCGGCCCCCTACAGTTGGCGAGGCACAAAAGGCCAGCCCGTGCTCACAGGGCAGTCAGTGTGTCTGGATGGTGGGGGTTAGGGGCCCCGGAGAGCGAGCACTGGCCGTGCTGGAGGTCTGAAAGCCTGGCCGGGACAGCAGGGTGGGGACTTGGCGCAGCGTGCCACCTCTGCCAAAGGGGACATGGAGCAAACTTGGGAGACATTTTGTTCGCTGTCCTGCCCAGGCGTTAACAGGACAATATCAGAACAATCGATGCCAAAGGAGATGGTGGTGTCTTTTCTACTGTAGCTGCTGTCACTACCTTGATGTCTTTGAGCTAATGACCGTTCGCATCTGTGTCTTCGCGCAGCTCCGGGTCCGCGCTGGGGTTGAGCAGCGCAGGGCCCTGCGGGTGCGCCGTGCCGCCCGGACGGCCTGTGCACAGACAACACTGCTGGGTTTCCCTCTGTTGTAGACAAAACTAGGGAGAACTTTATTTTTCAATAAACTTTTCTTGTGTGACAGGTGGGAGTGGTCTTTGGGGGGCTGGGCGGGGGCGGGGCCACCTGGGGGTCACAGCCCGGCAGCGTCCCCCATGCTGGCCTCACTGCGGCAGGTCCACGTTTGCAAACGCTGCTGAAAACGCTGGGAGGTCACGTGGAAGCAGCAGAGGACAACAGGCTCACTGTTGAGTATTCTGTCCCTTAACATCACGCCCACCGGCAACTAATTTCAGAGCATTCACCTAGAAGGGAATGAACTTGAAAGTGGACAGAATCCAAGTGGCCCACTTGAAAGTGGGCCATGTGTTTTGAGATAACTGTACTACAGCCAGTGGTTAAAAATCTTTAAGGATGTGCTAGTAAAAGAGTCCCTGAAAAGGCTCAGGGCCTGTTAGAAGTGGAGCCCATTTCCTCCTCACAAAGAGGACTCTGTGGCCCGTGAGCATTTGGAGAGGCACGTGCCCTGGAAACAAGGTCAAATCCACGCTCACACCAAAGGCTGGTGGGCATCCACGCGGGCGCCCGGCTCAGCCCTCGAAGGCACGGCCTCCCTCTAGCTCTGCCCTGAAGGGGGACAGCACACAGTTCCCAGATACAGCACATTTGGTGTACGCCAGTCCCGGAAATGTGCCAAGAAAAATGTGAGTGTGCGTAAGTTTAGGGAAGGCTACGCTCTAGTTTCCCTTCCCCGACCTCCCACACTGTACAGTAAATATACAGAAAACCCACAGAAGAGAAACCTGTTGAGTCTTGCAGCTCCCAGACCTGTCTGAACAATCAGCCCTTTACTCCATGCAGCACGTGAACATCCTACAGAGCTGCCGGAGGGAGCTGCTCTGACGGCACCAGGCTGACCCAAGGTCGGTGACCTCCTAGACCAAACCACCCTCCTGGAACCGGCCGGAAACGGCCGCTGGCAGAGGGGGCGTGGGCAGCGGCAGCGAGGTCTGGGGAGCAGCCGTCCCTCCGTTCCAGCCCAGGTCGTCCCAGGGGCCCGGGCACGACCAAGGCCATGTGTGGCCACTCCCCGCCCCACAGAGGCACCAAGCCCCTCACGGCAGTGCTTGGGCGTCTCCGCTCCTACTCCACCCGCCCCCGGGAACAAGTGACCCTGCCACATGACCCTTCAGGCACAAGGACAGAGCTGCCCGTGACGGTGACAACTCTCATAGAGAACTTCCCCATACCATACGAAACAGGTAAAGGTCTTTATTGTCAGACACCGTCGCCCGGCCGGACAAGCAGCAGTGCTAGAGGTACAGGCTGTTGTGTGTTGGGGAACATTTTCACAGAATCTACACTCAAGGTCGCATAAACTGAAGACACCGTGTTCCTTACAGAGGAATCCGCCAGCTCCAACGGGCTGCAGTGAACCATCACCACTTAACACAGCATATAGATATATGCACAGGGGGGTCGATTATATAATTATTTATTACAAATAAAGTGTGGTTTCACATCTGTCAAAAATGGATCCTGTTTTGACATGTATATTCAGGTTCTGAATGTACAAGAAAGGGTCATGTGCTTAGTTCATCCATGCAAAGCTCATACATACATCACTAAGTACCTGAAAAATAGAATGGTCTCCTTTTGAACAAATCTGTTTAGATTTAGGATTAGTAAAACAGTATGAAACTAATGAAATATATCGATAGAAATTAGGAAGTGCTGTAGACGGATGGTTCTGGGTATGTGAAGGGCTGAGGGACACAAGGATGCAGTCGGTCTGCCCTTAAACTCTGCCGGGAGGTGACAGGGTCTAGAGCGCCGAGGTGGCTGGAGCCCGTCCAGAGGAGGCGGGTCTGGTCAGCTGCCATCTATTTCAGGCCTTGAGCACCACAGAAAAACTGTCTGCCGAGTGGAGATCTTATCCCACCCACAAGAACCCTTTTACTCCTGAAAATAGAAAAGGTCAGTTCCCACCGGAAATGGGAAACCAGTCCCCCTCCTGTGCACGTGGTCCTGCTGGGTGTCGGGGGTGGTGGAGTGAGGGGCGGCCGCGTTCCCATGAACACACACTTTCCAAAGAAGAAACTGGACGTTCACACAGACATCGGCACCATCGGCCTTGGTGGAAACCTCTCGTCGTCCTGCCGGTCTTCACGCGACCGCAGGGCCTCACGTGACTGCAGAACCGGCGGCTCCGGCCCTCCTCACTCAAACATCTCGTAGTGGCGCGTCTGCCTGACCCTGGGCACCATGTCGATGAGGAGTCTGCAGAGAGCAGGCAGACAGGTCACCCCAACACAGACCCTCCAGAGCCCAGACAGCAGAGGCAACTGCAGCCTCTTACAGTACGTGGCCCAGCGGTTTTCAGTGTATATGCACAGACGGTCCAGCCGCCCCCAACCCCTGGTTCCAGAACATTTTCCTCAACCCAAGACACCCGCTCGCATCCCTCCCTTGCCCCCTCCACCCCAGACCACTAACACGTGTTCCCCACTGAAGAAGATAATTAGTTTGTAAAAGTGGGCATGTACACAAGTTCTTTACAATTCACCTAATTATTGAAAGTATAAAATTTAATGTTTTGTTTGCTCCTATATTTTGTTTTCAGACTCCGAATATCAGTGAGATCACATGGTATTGGTCTCTGACTTGCCTCACTTAGCATAATGCTTCCCGGGTCCATCCACGTGGTGGCAAACGTAGGGTTCTTCTTTCAGGGCAGAGTCCGGTTCCCTTGTATGTACGACCCGCACCTTTTCTACCCCCGCGTCTATCCATGGGCACTTAGGCTGCTTCAGTATGTCGGTTACTGTAACAATGCTGCACGTATCTTTTTGCATTAGGGTTTTAGATTTTTCTGGATACATACCCAGAAGTGGGATTGCTGGGTATGTGGTTACACCTACTTTTAATTCTTTGAGGAACCTCCGTACCGTTTCCCACAGTGGCTGCACCAATTCACAGTCCCACGAACAGTGCACAAGGGCTTCCTCTTCTCCACGTCCTGGTTAACACTGGTTTGATTGGCTGACAATAGTCATTCTGATACGTGTGAGGGGGCAACTGTGTTTTTAATTTGCCTGTCACTGACAACTAGTGATGTTGAGCATCCTTTCATATGTCTGTTGGCCATCTGTATGTCCTCTTTAGAGAAATGTCTACTCAGGTCCTCTGCCCATTTTTTAATCAGAATGTTAGGGGTTTGTTGTTTTGTGTTGGTGTTTATGATTTCTTTATATGTTTTGGAAATTAACCCCTTATGGGACGTATCATTGGTGCATATCTTCTCCCATGAAGTAGGTTCTGTTTTGTTGGTTTCTTCACTGCAAAAACTTTTTAGTTCGATATATTCCCATTTATTTTTTTCATATCCCTTGACCAAGAAGACATAGCCAGAAAAATATTACTAAGAGTGATGTCAAAGAGTCTCCCACTGCCCTTTGTTTTCTTCTAGGAGCTTTATGGTTTCAGGTCCTATAATTGTCTTCAATCTATTTTCAGTTTATTTTTGTATATGGTGTCAGAAAATGGTCTAATTTCATTCTTTTGTACATGTCCGTTTTCCAACACCAATTATTGAAGAGATTATCTTTACCCCATTGTTTATTCTTGTCTTTTTTGTCATAAATTAATTGACCAAATCATTGTGGGTTTATCTCTGGGCTCTCTTTTTCTGTCCCATTGATCTATGTGTCTGTTTTTATGACAGTACCGTGCTGGTTTGATTACTATAGCCTTGTAGTATAGTTTGATGTCAGGTAATGTAATAAACCTCCTATTTAGTTCTTCTTTCTCAAGATAAATTCAGCTACTTAAACTTTTATGGTTCCACATAATTTGTTCTAGTTCTGTGAAAATGCCATTAGTATTCCAGTAGGTATCATACTGACTCTATAGATTTCCTGGTATAGTGTGGGCATTTTAAGTATGTTAATTCTTCCAGTTCTTGAGCACAGTGTAGCCTTCCATTTATTTGTATCTTCAATTTTTTTCTTCAGCATCTTACAGTTTTCCAAGTACAGGGATTTTACCTCCTCCGTTACATTTATTTCTATGTATTCTTTTTGATGCTATTTTAAATAGGATTGTTTTCTTATTTTCTCTTTCTCAGAGGTCATTATTATTGTATAAAAATGCAACTGATTTCTGAATATTAATTTTGTATCCTGCTACTTTACAAAATATGTTTATTAGTCCTAGTAGTCTTTTTGATAGAATCTTCAGAGTTCTGTCTATATAATATCATGTCATCTGCAAATAATGACAGTTTTATTTCTTCCTTTCCAATTTGGATGCCTTCTATTTCATTTTCTTCTCTGATGTTGAGTAAAAGTGGTGAAAGTAGACATCCTTGTCTTGTTCCTGACCTTAAAGACAAAGTTTTCAGCTTTTCACCACTGAATATGATGCTCGCTGTGTGTTTGTTGTATGTGGCCTTTATTAAATTGAGGTATGTTGCCTCTGCTTCTACTTTGCTGAGAGTTTTCATCATAAATAGGTACTAGATTTTATCAAATGCTTTTTCAGCATGTATTGATATGACCATATGATTTTTATCCTTCATTTTGTTTATGTGATGTAGCGGATTAATTGATTTTGGGGTGTTGAACCAGTCTTGCATCCCAAGAATAAATTCCACTTGATCATAGTGTATGACCTTTTTAATGTATTGCTGAATTCAGTTTGCTAATATTCAGCTGGGGATTTTTGCATCTATGTTCAACAAACATATTGGCCTATGATTTTCTTCTTTGTAGTGTCTTTGGTTTTGGTATCAGGGTAATAACTACCATAACACGAATTTAGGAGCTTCTCCTCCTCTTGAATTTTTTGGAATAGTTTAAGAAAGATAGGTGTTAATTCTTCTTTGTATGTTTGATAAAATTCACCTATGAAGCCATCTGGTCCAGGGCTTTTGTTTGTTGGAAGTTTTTTGATTACTGATTCGATTTTGTTAGCAATTATTGGTCTGTGCAGATTTTCTGTTTCTTGTATTATTCTGGAAATTTCTTCCAGGTAGCTCAGTTTGTTGGCATAAAATTGTTCATAGTATTTTCTTATAATCCTTTGTATATCTGTGATGTCACTTGTCCCTTTTTTCTTTTTTAATCTTTTAATTTTTCAATTACAGTTGACATGTAATATTAGTTTCAGGTGTACGCCCCAGTAATTAGAAATTTATATAACTTACTAAGAGATCACCCCAATAAAACTCATACCCCTCTGACACCATACACAGTTATTGACTGTACTCCCCATGCTGTACTTTACATCCCCATGACTGTTCCATAACAACCAAATTTGTGCTTCTTAATCCCTTCGCCTTTCTCACCCATTTCCTCGACCCCCCTCCCATCTGCCAGCCATCAAAATGTTCTTTGTATCTACAAGTCTGCTTTTGTTCTGCTTGCCCATTTGTTTTTTAGATTCAGCCGTTGACAGATATGTATTTATTGACATTTTATTATTTATAACTTTTATCTTTTTCTTCTTCTTCTTAAAGAATGCCCTTTTACATTTCATGTAATACTGGTTTGGTGGTGATGAACTCCTTTAGCTTTTTCTTGTCTTGGAAGCTCCTTATGTGTCCTTAGATTCTAAATGATAGCTTTGCTGGGTAAAGTAATCTTGGTTGTAGGTCCTTGTTTTTCATTACCCTGAGTATTTCATGCCAGTCCCTTTCTGACCTGCAAAGTATTTGCTGAGAAATCAGCTGCCAGTCTTAAACAGGAGCTCCCTTATAGATAACTGCTTTTCTCTTGCTGTTTTTAAAATTCTCTCTTTGTCTTTTTATCCTTTGGCCTTTTTTTTTAAACAGTATTTTTTTAAATTTATTTATCTTTAGAGGGGAAGGGAAGGAGATAGGGAAATATCAATGTATGGTTGCCTCTCGTGTGTCCCCTGCTGAGAACTGGCCTGCAACCTAGGCATGTGCCCTGACTGGGAATCGAACCACGATACTCTGGTTCACAGGCCCGCGCTCAATCCACTGAGCTACACTAGTCAGGGCTAACCTTTGCCCTTTTAAATATGATGCATCTTGGTGTGGGCCTTTTTGGGTTCATCTTGTTTGGGACCCTCTGTGTTTCCTGGACCAGATTAGTAAGTTTTCAGGTCATTATTTCTTCAAATAGGTTTTCAATCCCTTGCTCCCTCTCTTCTCCTTCCGGTACCCCTATGATACAAATGTTGTTATTCTTGATGTTTTCCCTTAAACTATCCTTATTTTTAAATATTCCTTCTTTTTGCTGTTCCAATTGGGTATTTTCTACTGCCTTTCCTTCCAGATCACTAATTGGATCCTTGGTGTTTCGAACTCTGTATCTGATAGATTGCTTAGTTCTCTTGTTTAGTTCTTTTTCTGGAGTTTTCTCTTCTTTCATTTGGTGCATGTTTCTTTGTCTCCTCTTTTTGGTTGCCTGTCTGTGTTTGCTTCTGTGTATTATTAGGTAGATTTGCTATGCCTCACACAGTCTTGGTAGAGTGTCCTTATGTAGTGTCCTATGGGGCCCCATGGTGCAGTCTCCCTGGTCACCTGAGCCAGGTGCCCAGGAGTGTCCCCTGTGTGAGCTTTGTGCCCCCCTGTGCAGTACAGCTTTTGACTGCTGTTGGCACATCAGTGGGTGGGACTGACCTTCAGGCTGTCTGCCTGTCCATGACCACAGCAAACAAGCTGTTGTGCAGGGCTAACCACATAGTAGGAGTCACTCTAATGGGCTGTGCCCACCCTTCAGATGAGCCATTTATGGAGCTGCTTGGGTGGTGATCTCATGTGGTCTAAAGCGGGTCATAGGTATGTTGGCTCCAGTGCAGGCCAAGGTCAGCTGTTCCCTGTGACTGGCTTGGGCCTGCCTGGTAGGAGCTACACAGTCATTTGTGGTTGGTTGCCACTTGTGCTGGGTTTGTGGCTGTGGAGTTGAAGCTATGTTCTAAGACAAGACTGGCCAAAGTTTATGTCAGGCTCGGGGTCCCCTGAGGGGAGTTACAATGCAAGTCAAGATCTATCACCACTTGTCCCGAGCATGCCAAGGCCAGCTGCTGCTTGTTTAGGGTTTGTGGGCCTTTGAGAGGTTTTAGTAGAGTCCACAACATCAGCCAAGGCAGGCCCCTTGTGTGGATGATCCACTGGAAGCACTGGAAATCTGAGTTGAGGTGGGGAGAGGGAAGGTCTCAGAGAATGGCTAGGATAATGGAGAGCTCAGACCTGGCACTCACCTGTGCCTGAGGCTGAGTGAGGTAGGGCTCAGCAAAGCAATTGTGCCTGCCGGGGCTTCCTTCCCTGGAGAGAGCTGCTCACCCCTGCCCACCCCTTCAGCCCTCGCCGCGAAGCTAGTCTGTTCAATTCCGCCTGCATATTCCTGGCACTTTTTAAGCTGCTGCCCCTGCACTGGGGCCCAGAACAAATGAGCTTGTGGGCAAGCGAGTCCATGTGTAGGTACCTCAAAAGGAATGCTTGAGACTCCAGTAGCCTGTCTCACTCAAATACAATCCCCCCTGGTTTTCACAGCCAGTTTTCACAGTTATGGGGACTCCTCAGCCCAGCACTGGTGCCCTTTGTGACTTAAAGTCCATGCCTCTTATCAAAGTCCTTGCCCCACTCTGGTGCCAGCCACAAGAACTTCTGATCCCTAACATTCCCCATGGGAATGTTTTCAGTGACCTGACCTCACTGAGGCTCAGGAGGGTTGCAGGTACAAGGTATAAACCATTGGGGGGGGGGGAGGAATACTCTTGGCTGCAAGTAAAACAAAGAGGAAAATAGGCACTTACTTGACCCCGTAGGCAAATATGGTAAGGCCAATCAGCACACCTGTGCTGCCATCCAGGTACCAGACCGCTGAGTTGTGCTTGAACACCTCAGCACTCAGAAGAATAGAGAAGCCCATCACGCCTCCCACAAGGGAGTTAAACCCTAGGAGAGAAGCAGAGAGAGCCTGACGGCAGTGCTGCATGAACTGTCTCAGCCCCCAGGAAGCTGCCCAAACACCAGCCATGCCTCCAACATTCCAACCGCTGCTGCAGGGAATGCCACCCAGAAGCATTCTCACAGGGGAGAGCCGCCAACTTAGACCCCGAAGTGGCTTGTCATGTCTTTGTTCAAATGTCACAAGAGACCTTACTAGCCAGAGCTGTCACCCCCAGTGTCAGTGCCCTTTTCCTGCCAGGCACGGATGTCCACCCGACACAGCCTGTCTGTGCTCACTGTCGGTCCTCCTCCCTCCCTCGCACTAGCTCATCCTGACCCTGTGAAGGTCAGGGCAGCACCTGGCACACAGGACTCATTCAAATACTTGGCGCCTCAAAGCTGCTGAATGTCTGCTGGGCCTCGGACCTAGCTGGGATCGTCTCAGTGCTATGAAGTGTGATTATTATCCAAGTTTACTGATGAGAGAACTAAAGTTAAGCAGAGTGAGGTTAAATGGACTGACTGAAGTTATGCAGATTTGAGAGGAACAGGGCTAGGCTTCTACCGGAACCCACATCCCTTCCTCCAGGGTCTGTGTGAGTCACCTGAGGATTTTCACCCTCTAGGAAGAGAAATGCAAGGTCAAGAACTAGGTGCTGGTTGCAGAAATGGCCGCCAAAAGACGACTGGAGCTGACAGACAGAATCATCTCCTTTCACATATGTCATACCTCAGCTGGTCCCCAAGACTTAGGTATCACAATTCCATTGTACCTGTGAGTTTTCAAAGGCCACGTGGGAAGGGACTGGCTTAGAGGGGCTCCTGGGGCCACACTGTGGCATAGGCCACTAGGCTCCTTGCCGGCCTCGGAGGGGTGTAATGGTAGCCTGGAGAAGCCCTGGGTCCACGCTGGCCTGGCGACCTCCTGGTAGCTGGTCTGCACAGGGTCAGTCACCATGCCAACAGGCCCTGTTTCATACCCGGAGCAGCTCCACCTGTGTAAGTACCATGCGTTCACTGAACTCACTAGTGTTAACTGCAGTTTCAAGCAGGAAAACTAAGATCAGACAACCTTAAACGTATTTACTGGGGACTGTACACCTAGGAGAGAGGTTCTAAAGGAAGAGCAGTGGAGGGGGGAAGAGCATGGGGGTAGAGAAAGTTTGAGCAAAGCCTGAGGAAGACCTCGAGATCCAAGGCGGAGACTTCGACAGGCCGCTCCCCAGCGATGGGAACGAGATACCCCGGCTGGCCCTGCACCACATCTCAGCGGACAGTGCCACCCTCGCCCTTCCCTCGGACTGTCTTCTCCCCACACCCGTTCTCAGCGGATGACGGCCTTGTCCCTCTCAGAGCACACAGGTTTGGGCAGCAATACCTCACCCTCCCAACACAAGTCCACCACCCCCGGTGACAGTCGCCCCCCACACTCAGTTGCCACTCCAGTTACCGAGGTTCCTAGGTCAGGCTGACCCTTCACACCTGTTCACCAAAGGGCTTTGTTCTCAAAATTCTTCTCCCTCTTCTGGAACATTCCCACTGGGATAAATCTTCCCATCACCCACTGCAGACTCCCGCCTGACTGCACACCACCCACATCGCAAGTCCCATTCGCTGTTGACCTCTACAAAACTGGAAGAGGTGTCCCCCCGATGGCACCTCCGCTCTCTCTTCACCCCACCCCAGGCAGGTTCTCTCCTCCAGAGTAGTGCCCGGGGCCAGCGACTCACTCCCTGCTGCCACACGCCTCCTCCCCTTACAGCCTGCCAGGAGGACTTTCCCCAGCCCCTGTGACTCTGCTGGTCTCTCCCTGCCCCTCCAGCTCTTCCTTCTCGGTCTGCTTTGCTGGATCCTTCTTCCCCATCTCAGTGCCCTGCCTCAGTCCCCTGGACTCTCCCTCTGTCTACATCCTCTTGAGCCTGTCACCTCTGATCCCGCGTGTCAGTGTCCCCCAGGTCTCTCCCTTTGGCCTGGCCTTGCCCTTCAGCCGCAGACTCCCTCACGTAAGCATCTCAGACTGGCCATGTTCAAAGCAAATACCTGTTTCTGGTCCAAAACACCTCGTCTTCTCTGTAAATGATGCCACCATCCACCTAGCTGCCAAGGCCAAAACTCTGGGAGCCCGCCTTTCTGTCCCGCCCCAAGTCTAATCACCCACCCAGTTATTCTCACCAACTCTCACCTCCCAAACTCATTCTCCGTCACTGTATCGCTCACCACCCCCACCGCCCCAGCCCAGACCGGGCCCCCCCATCCCTGGCCTGCACCCCTGCCTCCTCACTGCCTTCCCCGCTGCCCCTCCTGCCCACATCTCCCTTAATCCACAATCCACCCCCCCAACAGCAGCCAGAGTGGCCCCAGTAAATGGACAGCATCTGGCTGTCCTCTGCATCTTCCTGGTTTTTTTTTTTTTAAATCTGTCCCACACCCTTCCTCAGAAGGCCACCAAATGAAACAGCAGAAGCCATTAATCACTCTGTCGCAGGTGACCTGGGCTGGAGTTTCGCTCTCTGCCACTCTCAAACTTGGGGAGGGTTTGTTTGGAGAGCGGCTAGAGGACGGGGAGAGACAAGGAGGTGACCGCTGCCCGAGGCAGGCTGGAACCTGGCTGGTCTCCACGTCTCTGCCATGGGTGCGCAGGTCGGCCGGTGGAGAAGCCTAGTGGCACTCAGAAAGGGTGCAGAGAGAATGTGAGGTTCCCCAAGACGGCCACTAGATGTCCACTCAGCTCCACCAAGTCGCCAGCTCTGCCAGCCAAGGACGGCCCAGCCTCCTGTGACCCACCCGTGTACCACCCCAGCAGGTCACAGCCGATGGACTCCTGGTCTGCCCACCTGGTTCACCTGCACCTTCTGGGAGCCTCTGGCCTTCTCCACTCTGCCCAGCCTTGGTTACGACAGAGCCTGACTCATTTCGGCTTTGCCTTGGCCTCTCGCAAGCCTGCAGGGGAGTGCTGCACTGGCCTCCTCCCAGAGACCAGGGGACAGTCCTGTGTCTGCCCCTCAACGTCCTTAGGAACGTGAGAGCCTTCCAGCTGCACGCACCCCGCACGAAGGACCCTGAGCTGTCGGCCCCGCCCAGCAAAGCGCTCACCTTCCCGACGGCACACAGGCCTCACCTCAGGGGGCTGTGCCCGCCCCACCCAGGCCCGGAGGCTGGTTCCTGCCTCCACAGTTAAAACCAGAGCCGTTGTCCAGAATAAATGCTGTTGGCTGTTTAAGAGGTTGTCCTGAATAGACACCACCATTCTGGCCTTAGTGACTAGGTAAGAATCTGTATAATTTAAGTATATCAATTTTACGAAGAAAATTCTGATTAAAAGTTTCCATGTGCTTAAAACCATGAGAGGATCTTGGCATTTCAGCGTTGTGAAGGACTGGGAGCAGCGTCGGCAAAGGCCGCTCGACTCAACCCGGGCCTTTGTCCCGTGGGCCACCTGGGAGCCCGGCTCCCGGCCCCTCTGCACAATCCTCTGCGTGGTCAGCAGTGTGAACTTGCTGCACAAAGTCGTTTACCTTAAATAATGCAAGGCCAGCTTCGGCCTAGTGCTGACAGCAACAATAGCATGTTGATTAAATAAATATCTAAAGGGACGAAACCTAATTAGACAAGATTTGCTGCACAGCACAGGGTGGGGACATCTAAAATCTGCCTACGCCCCGATGTCCCCATTTCTGAAGATCTGCTTCTTGTAAGGACACAACCCAACAACAGAGGATCTGGTGGACTCCGCCTGACCCGATTCATATACAGCTCAGGGGGGGAATCAGCCTCCTCACCAGGTGACAGGTGAGGCCCGCGCTCCCTGCCTGCACCAGCGGGGAGCTGGAACTTGCTTTCTTCTTGGAGAGAATGAGCCAGACCACGAGAGGGACATTCTCAGGGTGCCCTTGAAGGATGCCCTCCAGAGCCAGCCCCTCAGAAACCCCCAGTGTCAATGACGGACACATCTCCCCAACCCCGCCACCCCCCCCCCCACCGTCCCTGAGTGAGGAAAGAACCAAGAGATCATCACAGAAGGTTCCTTAGCTCTGCTAATCAATGAGTAAGTAAAACTTCATCCCAGAAAACACAATTAGCAGGAGGCAATTACCTCTGCACATCTGGCTGACACTCCAGCCAAGCGAGGGAGCACAGAGCACCCCGACCCAGTCCCCGGGGGCTGGCGGTCCTTTGCCCCTGGCAGCAGGGCTCTCTCACCTGCCTTCCTCTCCCTCTGCCACCGACCCCCAGGGCCACATCCCCAACACCTCTTCACACCCCAACCCTCCACCTCTGCCCTCACCCTGTCCAAGCCACCACTCACCTCGCCTGGCTCCCCCAGAGCCCCGCCCCTGCTTCAGCACTGTCTCCCTCTACCCTGTTCCCCACCTGACTGACGGCCAGGGGCTGAAACATCAGTCGTGTCTCCTCAACATTTACATATTTAGTAAAACATACAACATCCTACCCCTGACGTGAAGTCCTGCATGGTCTGCCCTTACCCACGGCCCATGCCCACTCCTCACGCGGCCCCCAGATGCCCTCAGCCTGAGGCGCACTCTTCCCTGCTTTCCTGTTTTTGGAACAGTTTTCCCTTAAACCATCCACTTTGTAATGACCCCTCCCTGGTTCGAGAGTATGATGGAAATACTGCTTATGTGTGTGGATAGTTCTGTATATGAACGTTATGAAGTCAGAAGTTACTTCATCAGGAAAAAGATACCTAGCGTTGCAGTCTTCTCTGTGCCGTATGAAGTGGTGACAAGTTAAAGGAACAATGAAGTGTAAATAGGAAGTGTCTGGGAAAGTGTAAATAGAAACATGATGTGGAACTACTGTCAAGGCTGAGGGGTCACTGCTCTGGGAAGGTCGAGCCCCACGGTCATGGGTGGGAGGGCCCGACTGCTGGGTCCACCCTCGGACTCGGAGAGCACTTCTGTGTGCAAACAGGGAACATGTGAGGCTCTGTAAGTCAGAGGGGCGTTGTGACTTTAGAGCTCAACTGAGGACTGGAAGAGGAGCCAGTTCTCCGCACTCGCCACCGCGACCCACAAAGCCGTTCGGGCCGTGCAGCCTCCGCTCCCTGGCCTGCCCTCCCGTCACTCACGCTCCAGGCAGAGACACGAGATGGCGGCACAGAACACACAGCTGGAGAAACGGGGTTCCAGCCAGGCCTCCGCTCTGTACAGACCTGGAGGGCTCAGGCAGCTGTGTCCCTCAGAGCCACATGAAGGAGACCTGAAGGTGGCCGGACCCAACACAAGCATCCCTGCATTGCTCGACCCTAAGAAAAGGACTCCGTGGCCAAAGGGGGCATTTGCTTTTTCAGATTAAAAAAGTACCAGACCACAAAGACCACAAAGACTGAACACTTCCCCACAAATTCTGGGTCAGCCCCAGAGAGCATAGACCACGCTCTAAGGGTCAGTTGGATACAAACCGTCTCTAAGTCCGAGCTGTCGGTGTGGGTGACAGAGACCACACGCAGCGCAGGCTGCGGCTGCAGGCAGGCTGCATCGCTCTCTTGGGACTGAGTCACAAGTTCTTCAGATCCGGCCAGAGAGGAAGAGCTATCCCTTTACACCAGGGGCAGGACTCTTTGTAGCAGAGGGACACACACAGGAAAGAGGTCACCTGACTGCACCAGGAGCTCGGTCCCCAGCTAACATGGCACACAGCACAGTGCCAAGCTCAAAGGGACTCTGCAAACCCACTGGGCGGGGGCACTGCAGTACGAGCTCTAACAGCAGCCACCCCAGGACCTGCTTCCTGAGTCCTAACCGCACTGGGCTGGCCAAGCACAGCGGCCCCAACCGGCTGGGCCTCCTGGTCCACACAGGGGCCGGGAAGCAGAGCAGGGGAGTGGAGGCCCTGACCCCAGGCACCAACCCTGTAACTGTTTTAAACGGCTGTTAGTTACTATTTAAAAAGCTTGGATTCTATGGGCACCTGGCTTCCACAGCACAGGGAGAAAGGTGTCGTCTTGCAAGGAGAGAAGCAGACAGCAGGCCCTGCTGGTCGAAATGGCATGGGGGACACTGCCAGGTCCACCTCCCCGGGGAGCCACTTGTCCTGGCCCCTCTCGGTGGCCATGGGGGCAGGACGAACCTCAGGGTGCACTGAGCGGACTGGACACTATTGTACAATGTGACTTCCTAGGCCCCCTCTGTCCCCAGACCCAGAGTCTTCCGGGGTGAGGTCCAGGAATCTGTGTTTTTAACAAACACCACAAGCAATTCTGATGCTGCCAGCGGTCGCAGCTAGCTGACAAGTGTCTGGGGTCCCTGTGTGCAGTGGGCATGTCAGGTCACATAAGACCCAACAGTGTCAGGTCTGTTCAAAGGAACCACACACACGTACGCACACGCATATACACACTGATGGTGCTCCTCCCAGGACAGCCGTGGCAGCAAAGCTGAGAACAGTGCTCTGACTTCCTGCCCACCTGCCCCACTGTGCAAAAGCCCAGCTCCACACACAGCAGGACATCGGCACAGGACGAGGAGTCAGAGGTCACACAGTGTCACCAGGTTTTGTCACGTGGAAGAGCAGGGCCCTCTGCACTGCCATCCTCGCCCTCCACAACAGAACCCATGCTTGTCCGTCTGCACTCACCCACTTCACAGAGGAGAGAACCTTGAGAGCTGGGGGGCGGAGGGGGAGAGGTTACTTTGTTAAAGAAGAAATCCAAGCCCTGGCTGGTGTGGCTCAATGGACTGAGCACCAGTCTGCAGATCAAGAGGTCACCGGTTTGGTTCCCAGTCAGGGCACGGGCCAGGTCCCTGGCTGGGGGTGTGCAAGAGGCAACTCTCACACTTTGATGTTTCCCTCCCTTTCTCCTTTTGTTCCCCTCTCTCTAGAAATTAATAAAATCTTTTTTATAAAAAAAGAAATCCAATATTTCTGCTTTGTTTTGTGCAGACATACATACCAACCTACAAGCTTTTACCCTTTGACCTCTCATCCCAGGGTACAAGGGATCATGTCTCTACTCCTGACCCTCTGACAACTAACTGCACATGCTCAAGAAAAAGAAAAACAAAAAGAGAAAGAAAAAAATGGCCAGGAGATCATGTTTGTCAAGCTTCTCATTTTTGCACAGGCACTCATTCTCGGACTGAAATGCATTTTTCCTGCTTTCACACACCCTTCTCTGTCACCCCAAGGCCATGCAGAAAGTGTCCCCGGACCCCTAGGGACACAGAGGGACCCTTCAGTCTGGTCTGGGTTTCCGGCAGAGAACACATGGATCACTTTCCCAGCGAAACCCTGCTAACTGCAACCTCATCTCCCAGGTGAGTGTCTCACTAAGTGGAGGGGAACGTGAGCATGGAGAATCCACACAGAAAACTTATAGATTTCAGAAGAGACTCTGACTTTTTATTTGGAGCAATGCACATAAAATCCAAGATTCTAGAAAACCCTTTGCACTTCATAGTTAAGAGGCTGGGGAGCCCCAGTCTGCCCTGGTAGGAGGTCAGGGTGGAGGTGATTCATGAAGAGTTTATTATATTCCCGGAGCACAAGCCATCTGCCCTGACATGTGAACCCTGAGAATCATGAAACAGCCTGGGAAGGCGAGGCTAGTGAGAACCGACTCCCGGTTGTTGGCTCCTTCTGCAAGACAAGCATCAAAAACCGATGCACACAGCATCTTCCCTCACTGTGACCTCAGCCCTCGGAGACCAGCCGCACTGGCCTTACTCACCATCTGTTATGAGCGCTCTGCTGGTCAGAACCTTCCCCAGCATAAACTTCAACACGGCCAGGATGCTGCAAAGGATCCCACTTAAAATGGAGACACTGAACAGGAAATCGTCCTAGAAGAGAAAGTTCCAGATTTCAACAGTTCACCTGCTAGAGCAGATTATCTGCAAACCAGGTCCTTAAAATCAGCTTTGTTCCCAGAACAATCAGTCAAGTGTGCTGCCCCCAGGGTAGGGGTATATTGCTTATTTTCTTCTTAGTTACCTGTGTCACTGGGAGCTGGAAAAGCTGATCAAAACCAGATAATCCTGACTTACATGTCCTTAGAAACCCATCAAGTATTTCTTTTCCCGTAGGAGACTCCTTTCTGCACTATTAGACCCACGTGATTGGCAATCATTGATCATAACAGAGTTGGTCAGAATTGTGGAAACGGTGCCTTCTGTGTAGAGTTTTTCATAGATAATTTTAAAAGCAGCTGGTGAAGAATTTTGGAGCATCTAAATGTACCACTGGCCTCAGAACACTTCAGCACAGAGCCACTACATCAGCCACACTTACGACCACATTTTTCCCTTAAATTCACAGGAGGTAATTAGAAGTTCAACTATAGCCTTTAGGTGGGGAAAAGGCATCTCTAAAAATACAGTCTGCTAGTGACGTTAGTGCTTCCTGTAAGTCAGTCGTTACCTTGCTTTTGGAAGCAAATGAGTGCGTCACATGCCAAGGAGAGCACCGCTGTCTCATGACCTGAGGGCCCAGGACGCTCCTCAGCCTCATCTCCCCTGCTCCCTCCCACGGGACACAGCCTCCGAATTCTCCACTATTAAAATGCAACTGCCAGCAGAAATCTGATAAAGCATCACACATACGCAAAGAAATTGGATTCCTCCAGCACTTTATTATTCAAAACCCCTAACCTGCTGACAGAAAGTTGGGAAGAGGGATGACGGCCTGCTTCCCTGAGTTCAAAACCGAACAGTCATGAGAAAAACCACCTCACTGGAAACAGGACAGCTACCTGCATGGTGCCAAAGCAACTCCCCCACCAGCCTGGTCGGTGGCACTTGGTTTTAACGTATGTCCGCAAATCTTTTACAACTCCTTCCCTGGGAGGCACAACTTAATTCCCCCCAACCCCGCTTCGTGAGGGCGGGACCTGTGACTGGTATCTAACCAATAGGGCATGGAAAGGGAAAGACGGTAACTTTACAGTGGAAAGCCTGGCAAGTGGGCTTAGCCCAGTGATCACGATTAAAATGACCGGTAATAAATTAAGCTATCACGCACCTCCTGATACGACACGACGAGAAGAACACCACTTGGTGTTCTACCCCAAAATCCATCACCTCAGCTGAATCGTGAAAAACATTAAACAAATCCATATTGAGGGACAGCCCGCCAAATACCTGAGTGCTACTTTTGACACATGCCAAGGCCATGAAAGACAAGGAACAACCGAGATGGGAGGCCAAGGAGAGGTGAGGACCAAACACAGCGCCGCGTCCCAGACGGGGTCCTGGAAAGCAACGAGCCAGCGCGTGGGAAAGCAGGCAGCGTGGGGCTCCGTCCCCCGTGCTACCAGCGCCGTAGTCGGGGCAAACGCTCCCTGGTCAGCCATGTAAGGTGTTAAACCACAGGGGAGGCCGGAGGAAGGGCTTACAGGAACTCTCTACAATATGTCTGTAACTCTTATACATCTGCAATTACTTAAATTTCAGTCTCACCTCCTTGAATTATCAGTAAGGACCATGCCACATCTGGTCCCTTGGCAGACCCGAGTCCCTGCTGCAGGTGAGGTTGCACCGCAGGGGCCGTGGCGGGAGGATCCCGAATCAGATGCCCTTTGTGCAGGGAGGGACTCTGCAGACGCAGGGAGACGGTGTCCAGAGGAAACACTGCGAGTATGACTGAGGAGTCACACACCAACACAGACCCAGGTGTTGATGGAATTCAGAAAGCTTAAGGTGGGAGACTGGGGCATTCAACTAAGTACTTAAAGGCCCCAGAATCAGAGGCTGAATTCTGACCTTGCTCACCCCATACCTTTCTGGCTCCATTCAATCACTGTTTTTGCAAAGCCCTCATCCCTAAATCTCCCAAGGTGGATAAAGTCGGCATTTACCCCACCCAGGTCCCAGGGGTGGGGGGCCGAGGCCAGCAGGTCTTCGTTCAGATATAAAATCCAGAGACAGAAACAAAGCCGACCTCTCAGATCTCAGTTCTCTTTTCCATAAAGGGCAGCAAGACACCTACAGCCCCTGGCACACAGCTGATGCGCAGCAGGTCGCAACTGTCGTCCCAGGGCCCAACACGCCATCCGGGCACTAACTTACTCCACCCAGCAGCTGCATGAGGTGCTAACCGTATGCCCCGGACTAAGTCTGGTAAACATTCCTATAAAAGAAACACAGGGGACTTACTACTGAGAGGGTGGTAGGTGTGGTGAAATGTAAAGAAATGCAAGAGACTGTGAGTGGGACCCACGGCAGCTTATAAAGAGAGAAGGGTGTTTGGGACCTATTCTTCACCTTAGAAGCTTCATCTCAGAGAAAGTTCTCCAGGCTGGGGTGGCTCTTAGGTCCCATTCCTGGAGGAACAGGGAGTGGGGAACTGATGTCACCGAGCAGTAGTTGAAGGCACCCAAGCAGGAACCTCCATGAGTAACTACGTGACTCTGGGCAGGTCACTGACCTCCCTCTATCCCTCCACGCCCACCTCCGTAACATGGAGAAAACAGTAGATCTCCCACTCCTGGTGGCTGCGCACTGTGTCCACGGCGATCAGCAGAATTCCCTTCCCAGGTGGCTTGGAGTCACACTTGGCCACCAGAGACACCTGTGTGAGACTTGGAAGGTAGAAGTGAAGTGGCCTAGTCCCTGAGGGCAGGTGCAGGGCTGGCTCCCCCTGGAGGGAGGGCAGCAGCTGCCTCCAGCCCTGCCCCACCCGCCCCGTCCTGCATCCAGAGCCTGGCGTGCCTGCAGCCTCACACCGAAAGGCGCCCACATCATCAGGGTTGAGGCAGTGAGGGTCAGGTGGGGTTCCAGTCCATCTTCAGGCGCCCAGACGGTCCCTGCCCTGCACCGCTCATTACCCCTGTTTCCCTCCTTCCAGGCCCCTATGACTTCAGGCCCGGGTTCCGGTGGTAGCCAGACAGGGGCTCTTCCGCAGCCCCCAGCATCCTGTACGGTTCATCCCCGCAACAACGCCCCATGGGGTTCACTGAGAGTGGGGTGGCTTCTCTGCTTGCAGCCGGCACACCACTTCCTAAGGGTGTTTCAAAGTGTTTAGCTGTGCCTAGCACACAGTAAGTGCTCTATTTAAATGTGGAGAAGCCGATATGCAAAACCCAAGTTTTTCCCGTCCGTGGGTTATTTCTGCCACCCACGCTGTGTTCCCCAGGTCAGCTCTGAAGGAGCAACACCTGTGTTGCGCCCTGTTGAAGTCTGAGAGAACAGAGACTGTGCCACCTCTGGCCTCACCCGGAGCTACAAGGTTTGGTTGGCTCGCTATTCCTGCACCGACCTGTCTCAGAAGGAAGCTAACCCTGAAGGAGCCATAGAGGACCTGGGCTGACACAGACCTGCCCGAGTCCCTCTCCCAAAACTGTAACCAATGCAGATCTGCCTGCCCGTACAGAAGCCAATACTCGAGAGGAGGGCGCTGATGTAAAGGAAAGGGGTTTATCTTCAGGTGCCGGCCATCTGGAAGATGGGGCCTCCCGTCTCAAAGCCCACCTCCTCCTCTCAGTGGAGGCAGAGGTTTTTATGAGGAGGGAGGGGAACAGAACAAAGTGACCAAGGGAGGGGGGTGAGAAGCTCTCCACATGCAGACCCTTCCAATAAGGTGTCAATGTGAGAGACATCTGAACCTGTAGAGAATTTTTGGTGAGTTTATTGGAGCCAAACTGATGACAACCGCTGGGAAGCAAATCTGGATTAGACAGGCTCAGTGAAGGTGAAGGTTGACCTTTATCAGAGAAAGATTCTGGCCTAGGACATGGCTACCTGCCGTGAACTGATTTTAGTTCCTCAGTGTTCATTTCAGACCATCCTTTGTGGTTCCTTTAGGTCTCTGAGTTTGTAAGGCTGCCTCACCATCCTCTCCTGAGCTTGTCAGGTTAAGATGTGGCCCCTTTTCCTCCACAAAGGCAGGTGACCATCCGGAGTGCATCATCCTGGCTTAGTCATCGAGGATTTACGTCATCCTGGCTCCGTGACTGAAGGTTAGCAAATCTCCCCGAACTGGGATGCTTGAAGGTCAGAGTCTGTATCTTATGGAGTTAGCGCCTAGGATTCTTAAACAAACACGCTGTACATCTACAAGCTACACATCAGTCAGAGTCAGCACTTACAGGCACGATGTCCAAAGAACGGTGGGGCAGGCTCCAGTTTCCCACCGTTATAAACCCAGCCTCAGAAGCCTGGAAGAGCTCCGTGATCTCCCCACCGGAGCCCAGCTGGCTTTCCTCTCTCCACTCTCCCACCGCAGGTATTGTTAGCATGAGCAGACTGTCACAAAGATGTAGTCATTAGCCTGCTCAGCACATTAGTCACTGTCACAGACTGTTTGTGTCCCCCAAAATGCATATGTTGAAGCTGCAACCCCCCCAATGTGATGCTGTTTGGAGACGAAGCCTTTGGGAGGAATTACGGTTTAAGTGGAGCCATGAGGATGGGGCCCCTGGGATGAGATTAGTGTCCTGATAGGAAGAGGAAGTGGTCTCTCTCTCCGCCTGTTCCCACTGAGGGAAGGCCCGGTGAGGTCGCGGTGAGAAGGAAGCCATCTCACTGAGGTGTGAGCAATAAACTCCTCTTGTTTAAGCCACCGAGTCTCTGGCATTTTGTTACGACAGCCTGAGCCGACTAAGTCCCTGGGTATAATAAAAAATAAAAGTGTTTCTGAGAGGATTCCTCTCTAAGAGTTAGGGAGCTGGAGCAGGCATAGCTAATGATAAGAAATTACAACCCAAGCAGGCATGGAAACACCACTGACTTCTTCCAAAGTGCAGCCACACCCGTCATGCCTCACTGGACTCTCACAGCCAGGTCTAGCCGGCATCTGACGGGAGGAAAAGCAGATGCACCCAGGCTGAATGACTTGCTCAGGGTCA